CTTTTCCCCCACAGAAGGTTTTGCTAGGCATGTACATCCATTTCAGAATCTAATCATAGCCAACTTAAATCTTTCGAACATTACCCACATTAGTAATTGCAAAATAATAAACATGACAAAATTCAGATTAATAGGGCATCCTGCGTAACTCCTATTGCGGAGAGAGCCCTCTGGAATTCTAAGCATAATAGGTCTGTGTTTATTTCTCAACCGACGGCATAATGTGACTGATTTACAAGAGTTTAACTCAAGTGTTAATCTGACAGTGACGAAGAGCTTCTCAGTGGCAGAATCACTTACACTATCATATTAGTTGCCTCCTCTATTAAAGCAGTGTGGTCGATAATTGGAATGCTTTTATGTCTAGTGGTTCTGACAAGGCTCTCTTTAGGTCACATATGGGCGGTCTAGCTCACTGCACAGCTGAACAGTGGCAAATGATTTAAACTGAGAAAGTATTGTTCTCCTCGTATTATGGAGCAAGGGCAGTTCAAGGAAAGTAAGGCTCTGCACCGGCTACCTGCTGGTGTGTAGTAAAATAAGATGGACATGATACTGGGTCGGGAGTACAATTAAATCTATTTTGCACCGATGTGTTGGTGGACAGATGAGTTTCCACATGGCAGAGCTTTATGATCTTTAAGGTAGACTGAACTAATAGATTGGTGTGGAGCGCACTGAAGTTACTAAGGATGAGAAAGCAAGCAGCAGTACATTTGAACTACAGGTTTCTCATATGCTCCACGTCATGCTGAGTTTTTATAGCTCCTGGCTTTCAAAAAGCCTGTTTCAAAGAGGTTTGCGCTAGACTGGGCATGCAGTTTTGCTCTGCAGATATTGTCGCTACCGATTTAGTGGAATGCAATTAGGAAGCCTAAATTAAGTGGTAATGGAGAACCAGCTCTTGAAACTGGGGTTTCCACGGCAACCACTGCTTACAATACAGCCTTCAGTTAGTTTTCCCACTTTATCTGCAAAATGCACAATTGAGCTTTAAAACAGCTTTGTGCTGAAAAGCGCACTGTAAACAACTGTTTGCAATGAGAGTTTTACACTGTCTTTAAATACAACAAGCTATCAAATAAAATTTACTTGTCCACACTAATAAAATAAAAAAATAAAAAAATCCATGCAGTACAAAACACTAAAGGGTCCAGAAACTTATTATTCATTCTCAAAATGTATATATAATACAAAAATTCAAGATCTTGTGGATCCTCAATTTTTCTTTTAAGTCTTATCATTATTCCTCAATTTTAAGTCACATAATCCCGTATCTCTCAGTAGTGAGAAGAACTGAGCATTTTGGTACAAATACTGTATTTATCGCAATACTAATGCTATATAGCTATAAAGTGCTTTTTTTGTCTAATATGAACTAATAAATGTGCATTTTCATCAGTCTTTCTTTTACATCTAGTAATCTTTTATGGATTTTTTTAATTGCCTTTATAATGTATTATTATATACTTCATAAATGTTCATATTTTGCAGCAAAGTAACACTGTTCCATTTCTGAACTGCTTAATATTCTTGATTCTTTTAGAATCATATCCCAACTTTTGCATCTTTTCAACTATAACCTTTATAGTTGAAAATATAATATAACCTTATATTAAATATGTGTAAAAAAAACAGGAAAGTGAAAAGGATGATGCTAAGGTCACGTGTGAAATTTGTATTGACTGCCCTTTCCATGATAACCCCATCAAACTGAATCTCTAGGCTGAAATTACTTATTTGCATCCAGTTGTTTCAGCTCTGTTATACAATCACTAGTCTTGGATGAATAGTGTCAGGTGACTTGTAAGAGTTGAGGTCTTGGTGAATTTTAATAGTCTTCTTTTTTCCCTTTTATACTTTTTTGTTTTCATCAGGATAAAATCTCAGAGAAAATATTGTGTAAACATCACCAGGATAAGTTCAGAAGACACATCATGTAATTTTGATTTTTGACCTGTCAGGGTAATCTTTTAAGGTAGTGTTCCTTGGGAAAAAAAAAAAAAAAAAAAATCATACAGCTAGTCAAAACACACCTAATTTGTGTCTCAATTTGTGTCTCAGCTGAAGTACAGCAACCCAAGCACCTCACAGTGCTTCAAGGCTGATGCACTTGTGAGTGCGTGTGTGTTATAGCAACCATGCTGGGTTGATGCAGGGAGAGAGAAAGAGAGAGGGAAAGGGTGGTAAGCTAGGGTGGTGGTAGGGGGAGGGACTGGGGGGCTGTGGATGCCTTCCCTAAGGAACCTTCTGGTCAGAGGACTGCATGTCAGCATCCACAGTCACATATAAATCTGGATTTGATATAGTCTCTGCAGACTTTGAACATGCCAGGCAGGGAAGCTTGCCCTTCACAGTACGGGTGCTCTTTCAGTTGTGCTGATCAGGCTGTGTGTATTCTGATCTGCTCAAAACAGTCTTTTGAGCACTAACCAAAACCAGAATGGGGATAGGAGGGCTCATTGCAAAGTTCACATCTCCTCCAGTGTGTGCCGGTGCTAATGGGAGCTTCTCCCATGATGGGTAGGTCATAAAACACGCAGCTGTAGAGATTGTGCAGGGTGAGCAAATCAAAGAACTTAGCTATAAAAGTGATGTGTGTGCCAATATTATTTAATATTAACTTGTGAAAATTGTTGAAGAAACACATCTTTGCCATATATCAGAATTGGCTCTAAAGCTGAATCAACGGATTAATAGGGTTATTTGTAATGATATTGTCCTCATAAAGGCTTTATTATTTAGGAATCAGAGTTTGAAATTGTAATTTCTTTAATGATTTTTCATCACATAAATTAGCCTGCCTCAACTACTCCGTCTAGAAGGCATGGGGAGAGGTTGAGCTGGTTCCCTTCTTCATTCTTACACAAAATCTGCTCATTTGGATTGATCCCAAATTTTAAAGAAACAAGTTCCTGGAAGAAACACAGAATGCCAGCGTGCACAAGACTTTCACAGGGCATCTCGTTTCAACACTGACTGCCTGCATTTTATCGGAGTACTAAAGGACACATTGAAATTATTTTGTTCTGGCACCAGTGCGCATTGTGATGTGTATGCATTCAATTGCACTTGACAAATCTTTGGGGCAAACAAAGTGGTCTAATGTAAGGAAATATCTCAGCATATTCCAAAATGACATTTTTAGACCAAACATGTGTTCAATTGATTTGCCTTCTCCAGAGATCACTTTTGAATCCAGGCCAGTGATAAGTATGGGAGCAGCCTCTTGCTGAAGGCCAGGCAGGTCAGCGGCGCTTCCGCTGGTATTTCCTGCGTCGCTGAGTCCTGCACCTCACTGTACAAATAGCTCCACATGGCATCCTGAGAGCGTGCCAGGGAATTTTGTGATCACATGCCAAGCCGAGTTGTCAGGTTCCACTCCACTGCTGCGTGTGTATGTGTGTGCTCATATGTGCGTGTGGCTGGAGCTAACTTCAGACTGAGTAATTACCATAATCCAAACAGGGCCTTTACCATCTTATTTGCATTCAGCCAGCAGTGCTGTTTTTATCAGCACCACTACTGAATTGTTGCAAAGTTTTAATTATCTTGACAACTCTCCTTTTTTCCTTCGTTTCCTTTTTTTTTTTTCCTTCCCCCTTGGGTGGTGTCGGGATTTCAGTGATCATCCCCCTATGGCAGCAATCAGATTTCTGCAATAGGAGGTTTTCTCACTTTTTCTTCTCCTAGTAGTAATTTAGGGTATCCCACCTCAAAGACTGCTCAGAGTGAGGACAGAAGTGGAGGAAGGTTGTCTTTATTAATTAATCCGTAATATTTTTCTCAGTAAAAGTCATTCTAAATGCCTTTTTTTTTTAATTCTATTTGAAGCCCTGGTGTAACTTTACACATGTGTGTAGGCTTGCTGAACTGAAAGAAACTATTTCCTATGCAGAAAGCTACTCCCTTGCATAAATGTTTGCCAGACTAGAGCTTTAGTTGTCATGTTTTCTGTATTTCCATAATCTTTTGATTTAGGATTAGTATAAAATATATCATGTCACTTATATATTTGCTCTCTCTCAAACACTGCTTTTTCAGTATTTGAATGCTAAGTTAGACAAATTCAACCTTGAAATAAGACACCATTTCCTAGCAGTAAGGGTAATTAAACATTGGAAGAGCTTACCCGGGGAGGAGGTGGACTTACCGTAGCTTGGAGTCTTTAAAATGAGATTAGATACCTTTCTGAAAGACAAGATTTAATCCAGCTTCTGGGGAAATATTCTAGTGTATGTGCATGGGAGGTCAAAGAAGTCTCTTTCAATGTTGGGCTAGAAATCTGAGTTTAGATGTATTTCAGTTCAGATGGAAAGATAAGTTATAATGTCTACACGCAGGAACTGTCTTTTGGGAATACTGTCAAATATTGTTTTTCCAAATTATGTGTTGTCAGCTACAGACAATAAGGTTTTGTTCGTTACATTTTGCATTGCCTGTTTTAAGTAGCTGAAAATCACAAAAGGACAATATAGATAAGATACAGTAGTATGAGACTGTTGTGGTAGAATAGAAGGCCTTAAAGCCTAAAGATCTGTGCCCTGAACAAATACAAAACTTATTTCTAGTCTGTTGTTTTTTAAGGTTCAATAGATATCTTAAAAATAAATAACATTAATATTTGTCTAAATCTATAATATAACTGTATTTAGCTATTCCTCTTTTACGAGCTTTATGCATTAGATTGCATATAATTGTTGTCCAGCGGTTGTTAGACATTTGTTTTGCTATAGTTTGGCCTTATGCACACCTTATCCTTGTTTTCCCTTTAAAGGGAAGAAAAAAAAAAAAAAAAGAACCATTAGGGATTTCTCTTTAAATCCAGCAATCTATGCATACTACTACGAATCAATGCTCTGTAAGCTGTCTGGTGTTCTGCAATAAATTCTAGCTTTTATAGACTTTTGCTGGGCCAGGTAGCTGCTAATGCCATAGAAATTGATTATTTGTGGTGTTCTTATCACTGCTTAAAATATCTAATTGCTTTTTCTCCACAGATTTGGATTTGGCTTGCTTGATGCTGGACGATTAATGAAGGAAGCCCTAACTGGACAAATGTTGGTCTCCTGAGACAATGTGTTGTTGATAACAGGTCTGATTTGAGCAAGTCTAGTCAAATTCAATTTTCATACTATTTAAAGAAACACACAACACACTCCACTGAGTTTGGGGATGGTTTGTTTTTTTGTTTGTTTGTTTGTTTTTCAAGTCTGTTTTGCTACCAAAGTTTATTCCCATTAAGTATTAAGCTTTGCAAAGCACCAAAGACTCATATCTGTCAGTTGCAGAGACATATTTTGCTTCAATTTAGTAAGCTTTGCTCAAAATTTGTCTTTATCCGTTCACACGTGCAGACTGAGCTATGTAATTCATCACTGTATGACTGTGCCTGTGGAGGAATTATTGCACTCTGATTATTTTGAACCCTAAAATTATTGATTGAAGTAAAGAAGAGACAAAAAGGTCTTGCAATCAGTTCTCAATCTAGCAGGATTCTCAACCTTCTTTAATGGCAGATAATCCTTAGACTAAAAGTTTATGCAGTTACTTCTCCTGTATGGTTTTTTTTGCTTAGCTGTATCTGTGTTATTAATTTACTTGAAGTACAAATTATTTTCCACTGTACTACCAAATCAAGATAACCAGATATCAAATCACTATCTTACTGATCACTGCTCTAAAAGTAAAATTCAGCTCAAGCTCAGTCCCAGCTCCAGCTGAAGAGGAAAAAAGTTCTCCCACCCCACTAGACTCCCAACATGTTCCCCTTCTGCATCAAGACGAAGAAACTACATCTAGAGGTTTTCCCAAAAAAGGCAGTAGTGTGATGGATGATGTGTTGTCCATGGGTGTGTAGGAGCTTTCACTTCAAACCAATCAGCCTTGTATGCCACAGTTGATTTGCATCAGCAAGTAGTGTTTTAAGTACTTTCCTCCTTGGAGACTTCTAATTTTCTTGAAATAGGTAAACCAGAGCTAAGAGGAACTTGGGTCCAAGTGCCTTAAACCCCTGTTAACTTTTGTGCCAGTCTTTCTAACTTTTATCTCCAAAAGAGGCTATTGAAAGAGGGACTAACACTCTGGAATTCTCTCGTCAGTGTGAAGCTGACAGTATTTGATCAAAAGAAATTAATAATCCAGTTCTTGTGTTTTGCAGCATTATCACAGTCATAGCAGTTGTGCTGTAAAGTAATCTTTATCTAACAACCTCACATATGAGGACACTATGAGGATGATTCAGGTCAAGTCTCTCTCCAGTCCCAGGAAAATCAACCTTTTCATTGCCACCCCACCCCTTAACCACACTACCTGAATCAGGATGCTCCCTCTCTGTTGGGGACATAAAGACATCACATTTTAAGACACAATTAAACTCTGGACAAAACAAAAAAGAACCCCACCTGTAAATAGATAATAAACTCCTAGGAGAAAGTCATCCTACAAGCCAAGCCGTATTATTATTGCTCGTATATTTTAGTCAGACTACTATTAATATAGACTATGCAAACAGTCTTTATGGTTTTGTGCACCTCTAGATCTACAACTTGTGCATGCTTTCCAAACATTTCTCTAGAAAGGGCAGGAGTACACTGGAAAAGTGCAATCCTGTGGTATGGTTGCTTCCCAAATTTGTGTGTTCCATACACCCTTGGAGTGATTCCCAGCAAAGTGATGGCTCAGAAGTTAGACCCCTGAGGGACATGAGCACTCTTCTTTCTCTCTGGATCAATGTTACCATGTGAAAGGCACAGTAAGGAAGTCTGTTTCTTAACACTGTATCTGCTTAAAATCCTGAAAGTGTGATTAATTAGGTGTGATTAATTAAATCATGAGTCATGACCTCCTTTTTTTCCTGTCACATCACTTATAAACAAGAGGACAGTTAGTGAAATTAAGTGATATAGGACAGTAAATATAGGGGCAATAAAAGGAAATGTCTTGTGCTGCATATGGTCAACCAATGGGATTTTCTGGTGCAGGTGACCACCTAACAAATAGTGCTACTTGTCTTGGAACAGTAGTTGTTAACGTGATTACCATAATTGATGAGACCAGTCCTGTATTCCTGGGACTTCTGGGTGCACTGGGAATGCAGAAGTGAGTCCTGCTTGGCTAATAAAGTACAAGCAAGTGCTCCGTGTGCTGGCAAGTCAGAAAAGAATGTTCTCCATGGACAATAACACTATACTGCTAGCTTGATCTATTACTTGCCATTTCATGGTTTGGTTATTTGTTTATTTATTTACCTTTTGAATTCCTCTGGAAAACACAGTACTGGCTCTCACTGTTGACTTAACAACCAGGCTTGGGCAGAAGATATAGCATTCTTCTTCTCTGATGTTTATATTGCAACAACTAACAACAATTTTATTGCAGAAAAAGATTGCGAAATAGGATGTGGATGTCCATCTTCAAAGAACTCTAGTTGCCAAGTGAAAACCAGTTAATTTTGACTGACCACTTTCTCAGCATCCACTCCTTGTTGAAATGGCAAAGGAATGCTGTATCCATAGATAAGGTGAAGAACCACCTGTTGCTCTAGCTGTGGGTTTTCTGATTTTTCTTTTTTTCTCTCTTGTGTCAATGATTTACAAGGACTTTTCTTATTACTGGCAGTAGAGGATGTGCTAGCTAGTATTTATGCAGTCAGAAATAGCATGGCTTAGAATTAGAGCTTGTGTAACTCTGTCAAATACTCATAATTATTATGTTTATATATTTTAATCTTTATATGGTAAGGAGTCCACTCATAATTTTTTTGTTTATTATCATGTTTGCTATTTTAAAGAACAGTTCTCTGGAAGGTGCCTACTTTATAATGTTCTCACTTCCTTATAAAAGATCTTATTTAAAATAATCTTTATTTTCAATTATGAAAATACTTTCCTGATCTCATTAAGCCCCCAAAAAAATGAAGTGTTATTTTTTTCTTTTTATTTGTGACAATACAAATTAAATACACCTATGGTGAACTAATTACTGTGTTTATGTTCTTTATACAGAACAAGCTTGTTAACTGAATGTGGAGAGATGAAGCAAGCAAAAACAAAGAGAAGTGCAAACAGCTTTGCTGCCACTATTGTCTATGACACTGTATTAGGTCCCAATTTAGGATCAATGAGTGAATAGGTATGTAAGAGAAAACACCACTATTCTACAAAGAAAGGGTATTTAAAAGGATTATTTTATTTTTTTAAGGAAAATTCATGTAAAATACCTTCTCAGACACGACATGATGATGATACTAAAGAAGGAGCTTAATTTGGTTGTCTTAATTTCAGATCTTTACAGTGGAACAGTGTTATGGACAGGTAATAACTTTCTTGATCTTATCATGTATTGCCTCACTATTAACCTTGCTATTTTTCTATTGAAGTTACTCATATGAGAGAAACCACTATGTTGTAAAATTTATAGGTACACCTTCTGTCCTTCACTTTTGAACTTAAAATGGATTTGGGCATTAGAATGCTGATGCAAATTACAGCATCTTTCTGAGTTATGTGGTTTACCTTAAAAAACATTTTGCTAATTATAGAGATAAAAGATATCATCACCTTTGTTTAACCATGGAAGTGCTGATTTTCAGATTACTTGAAGTTTTAATTATTGTGATTATAATTCAGTACAGTCTCCATGACATTTCACATGCAGAAGTTACTTCAGTGTAAACAACTTGGGATAACAGGCAGAAATAAATAGCTTTGTCTCTGTATTTTTATAAGATGCTGGAAATTGAGAGGCCAAGACACAGAACCATCCATTGCTGTGATTCCTCTCCATGGATGTCCATGCTACATTTCCTTCCTTACATACTAGAGTACAAAAGTGATTCCTTCACTAGCTGGGATTCATTGGCCTTTATTATGCTTAAGTTTCCACTAACTTAGGTGGCATACAAGACTTTGTAGAAGATATGAGCGATGTCTGGAATAGCTGCTCTGTCTTCCAGTCCTTTGTTTACCCAAGGCAAGGGAAAGTACTCGATCCAGGAGCCAGTAACATATCTTACCTTTCTTCAGGCCTGACCATGATGGACTGATATAGACATGAGTTGTATCATCAGAGTGATATCAAGTCCATCAGCATAAAATGGACTTTTTCAGTGTTAAGTGCTGGTATTAAACACTAGAGGTGGGAGAGGCTTGGAAAACATTGGGAGGAATAAAAAAAAAAAAAAGAGAGAGAAAAAAAAGATGAATTTGTATTTCACATAGGTTTGTTTACTTAAACAAATAATAATAGAGACAGAAAGGGACTAAAAGAGGAAGGAGGAGGAGTAAACACAGGGGGAAAAGTTACATATATATATATATGTGTGTGTATTTAATATTTCCTTTAACTGGGATCAGAGGTGGAGATTATATTTGATCAAACACACAAATTCTCCACCACAGGTGAGGGCTGAGACACAGCTGACATTTTTTCCTCCAGTCCTCTCCATAGAATTGAGCCAGTTTTTCCCTTTGTGTTAAATATTGTATTAACATCATTAATAAAACCCTTTGCTTAGTGTATTATCTGTGATTCTGTGAACACTGTAACATTTTGTTGTAAATATATAAATAGAATATTCATTTGTCCTGTACAACTTGCCAATGTACTTTATAATAAACCAAGTAATTTTGACAGGAAAAAATAATAAAATAAAAAAAATTAAAAAATGACCAACCCTAACCTAACAAGATTCAAACAATGAGCTCAACACTGGCACAAATCCCATCCATTAAAAAAGTCAGAACATTACATTTTCTTTTATAATTTGAAGGACAATGACAGAAATGCAAGAGATGTAGCAATAAGGACCATGTGGTCCCTCCTCTTCAAGGGTCTAATACAGAGCCTATTAAGTTAACGTACATACTCCCTTTGATTTTAATAGGCTTTGCATAACTCAGAAATTATTGAAAATGAATGGCTGAAGAAAATAATCACCCTGTTTATATTTGTTGGTTTATATCCATAATAAATTTGTAACAAATAAAAACTGTTAAAACAGATCCAAATGCTTATCTTTATATTAAAATGCAAGAGGACGTCTCTTCCAGCTCCAATGTAAAGACACAAAATCATGAACATCATAAGACAGAAAATCATAGAAAAAATCATAGAAACACAAGGTTGGAAAAGACCTACAAGATCATCTAGTCCAACCATCCTCCTATCACCAATACTACCCACTAAGCTATTAAATCACGTCGCATAGCACCTTGTCCAGGCCCTTCTTGAACACCACCAGGGACAGTGACTCCACCACCGCCCTGGGCAGGCCATTCTACTGCCTGACCACATTTTGAGAGAAGATTTTCCTCATAGCTAATCTAAATCTCTCCAGGCACAACTTGTGGCCATTTTTTCAAGATTTTTTTTGGTGAAGATATTTTTCAAGATCCTTATTGAAAACATGACTGCCTACTTCATCTTGTATCTTTCTTGAAGGTGTTCCTTCCAAAAACACCTATCTTTGTGCAAGCAGTTATGAATATCAAAGAGCAGTGTGGAGAACTAGTTGTGAGAGACAAAGAGACAGTATCACCAAGTGATAATGATAACAGTACTCCAGGAACAGATTATCTCACAGATTCTTTTCTTCACCCTAGAATTTTACCTTATAAATACCCACTTAAATATATATATATTATTAAATTGGAATAAATTAATGCAGAGAAGTAAATAATGAGGGTTAGCAGATAGCCAGCTATCCACATGGTCACAAAAACTACTTACCTCTTAGGGTAGCCAGCTTTCTCATCAGAGTAGTGGATTTATTTTCCAGATACCACTGGATTTCCATTTCACAAAAAAAGATCTGAGGAAAAGAAAGATGAAGTGATTTGCTTGGGCAAGCACAGACCTAGGAAGAACCAGATCCCCCTGATTCCTGCTTAGAGGCTACCCTTTCCTGTCTGTGATGTGGAAATAATGTAAATATTATCAAGCACCTGCAAAAGCCTTTCACCTGTTTTTGTTCTGAGTGACAGAGCCCAGAGGATGATGTGTGAGCTTCCCACTGGTCTGCAGGGAGCATGATGTAGCTGATACAATTCCCAGCTTCAGCACACCTGCAAGGTCTCATTGATCGGCTGTTTGGGGCTCTGAAAACTCAGAAATCTATTATCAGTGTGAGCATGTGCTTATTGATCAGCTTACCTGCTCCTGCTCCTTGTGTGTACTTAATTGTACTGGTGTGCACACACAAGCACACATGTAAATATGCACACACATATGCATGTGCACATATTAGCATGCACACATGGGGGTATGTATGCTAAAGGCTTTACATACTTTTTCTGTTTTAAAAAACTGCACACAAATAAAAAGAATGGACCTTCTCTGTGAAACGTGAGCACAGAAACACTCACAAGTGGCCAAGAGCTGCTAAATAATTAATCAATAGAGCTGCATGGCAGTTTGAAATGTAAATGTGATGGATGAAGGTGTGATGCTTGTCATCAAGCAGAAAATGATGTGACTGGAATGGATAACCTGCGGTACCTGCTGACTGGCAAAAGCTTGGACACAAAGATAAAGTAAAGTCATCAGAAAGCTGCCTCGGCAACCCCTAATTCTTGCCTTTGACCCACAATTCACTTTCATGTCCCTGTCCCAGAAGAGATGTTTAAAAAAATGATGAAGAGAGATCTTGGGGTGGGAAAGGGGAGAAAAAAAAACATCTAAAGAAATGCTACCTGACAAGGCTGCAGGCTACATTCTTGAGAACACCTTTCTTTTCTTTATATTCTCCTTCTTCCGTTAAATAAAAATGCAGCTCCTTTTTTCCCTCTCCTTTCTTCCAAAACTCTCCTGAGCCGTTCCTGCAAGTGGTTCTGTGACTCGGAAGCTGACAACAGCTGCATGCAAAGGAACAAAGCACGATAGTGACAATTCAGAGTGCAAGCAGGTGAGAAAGACACCTTTTACTTATCAAACTAGGCTGTAAAAAAAATGCTCTTTTTACTCAGCGAGCTAGAAATAGAGGTGATCTAACAAGGCACTGATCCAAATTCTTTATTTGTGCGGAGATGTAATGCTAACAGGATTTTTAGGTTGACTAGTAGTCTATGTCCCCTCCATTCAAGTAAGGAAATATTCCTCTGATTTGGAAAGAGGAAAATCCATATAATTACCGTATATTATGTGACAGGAAAATGTATGCCATGATGGCAAAGGGTGACAGAAAATGTCGATCATAAAATATGTTTTCAGCAACTTCTTACACTAGGCATTACATTCCTCTTGTGGAGAAACTCAGCATGATGAGAGTCAACACAATTCTCTTAATTTGAGAGAAATGAACTTTTTGTACACAAAAAAAAAGGGAGGGGGGGGGAGGTTGTTGGGGAGGCGGCAGGGTGTTTGATTTTTTTTAAGAAATGCAAGCCTGCAAGTAGTGCAAGGAGGATTTAAAAGTTTGATGGCTCTTTCTCCCTAGTAGAGAGAATCTTCTTTCTCAGTAAGTACCATTTAGCAGGTTGTTGGTTTTTTGTTTTTTTGGTTTTTTTTTGCTTCTTTTGTTATCAAAATCCCATTCTTTTCAGAAGGTGAAAAATATCATGTTTTAACATTAGATTTCCAAACTTCCCTGAAATACACATTAGCAGATAACACCCACTAAAAGTGAAAGCTAAATATAGATATATAATAGTGCATTGGCATGCAAACTAGATGTTTTATCATTTCTTAGGCATAAAATATACATACAAAATATTCGCTAAAAATCTTCTATTATTTTTTAAGAACTCTATAGACACATTTGCCTCTGAAGTGCTCCAAGAGGATCTCCAAAAAATGAACTGACTGATGTTCTCATGTTTCTTCTACTGATTATTTTTACTTGTTTGTGTGTGTGTGTTTTCATTTACTTGGTTTTTAGATTGTTATATTGCCATTACACAAAAGACAGAGTGAAAGCACAAAAGTAAGTATAAATAAAATATGTCAAACTGAATATCAAAAGTCAAGAATTAGAGCTTATACTAAAATAGCACTCTAGTTGGCCCAACTCCATAGTATAGAATCTACTTTTACTCTGGAAGAGGTTACTTGTGTATTTCCGTTGAAAATGCACCCTTCCTGTAACTTGCCTACCTGGATAAGCTTTAAGCAGGGTGCCATCTCTCTATGTGCACACGGAATCACCACACTCCACAGAAATATTTCCCTTTTAGAATTACAAAACTGTAGGCTGATAGGTAATTCAGGTTAAATTTCTTTCCTGGGCCATTTCAGGTTGTGTTTTCAGATTTGTATTTTGGGAGCTTTCTTCTAGCTTCTGTTAAAGGCACTCAACTGCATATCTTTACTTAGATAGCAGGTACCTTCATATTAATTTTGGGTCTTCTTGCACAGATTCAGGAATGCAATTTCATTGTGAGTAGGAATCAGACCCAAGAATCTGTGGTCATCTGAGTAAACTAATCCATGGGATGGAAAAATGGTCCCACACCTTGCATCTAGCATGCTTCTGGTAGAGATGTTCATAGATTTTGCAGCGATAAAAAGGAATTTGACCCAGTGGTTTACAGAGATTGATGCTGAGCGTAAACAATTGTCATATGGAATTCATGTAGCAATATTTATCATTAATAGGACTTCTATTCCCTCATAAACTGCTGCAGAAGTAGAAAAGCACCATCCCAGGGCTATGTTGTCACTAAGCTCATAGAAGTCCACTTCTGTCCTTTCAACCTATTTTCCAGCTATATAAGGACTTGCAATATGGAAATGTTAGACCAGGCTGCTTTCCTTACATCTGGGAAGGAAACTCACCTACCTGCTCAGGACAGAGAGAGCTATGACACACTCTCCCTCACCTAGTCTGGATGACTGGTTTGCTAGGTCTGTGGGACAAACAACCATATACACTGTGCTATACTGCTGCCAATATATAAAGTAGAGGTGCCTAAAAGGCTCACTGTAGGAGCAATGGTTCACTGCACTAGGGATTAATGTTTCTAATAGCACAGAATATAGACACAACAACATGACTGGATGCCTTTTTTCCCCTTTTAAATTTGCTGGGTACATAGAGCAAAGGAACATAAAAAATGTTCAGACGAAGGTAGATCTAAGAATGTGCATCTTAACTCCAACAGTTTCCATCCTCAAATGGCTAGAGAAGAGAAGGAGGAAATCTCACAACTGAGTGCCCCACATCACTCTCCCAGCCCCCAGCAGTTCATAGCTCAGGGACTTCCTGAGCTAGAAAAAGTTGCCAACTTTGTTGGAGCAATAGTGGGTAAAATATGCAGCGATGACTCTTCTGTACCAGCAGGCTTTGTTTCACCCCAAGCGTTATGCCAAACTAGTTGTATATCATCATGAAGAATAACTGCATTTGCCCAGAGTTGATTTCCTATGGCACATTTTACTTAGATACTTTCTCAACACCCTCACAAATATGCCATAGATCTAAAGCACAATCTCCTTTTCAAAATGAATGGGTCTGATTACAGGCGTATTCATTTTGTAAAAGGTACAAAAGGATACAAATGTGCCTTTCCATCTCATATAATGTCAAAGTAAGACCCTCTTGCCCTTTTATTTCAATCCCTGCAATTTGAAAATAAAAAAAATGACTTGATTATATGTTTTTTACCATTAAGTGTATAATTGCTTTTGTGTTTTGACATTTAATTCCTCTTACCAAAATACATGGTAGGAATTAAAAGTCAAATCTTTTATGTATTTGATGTACAGATCCCTCCATGTATTTCAATGAGAGAAATAGAACAGTGAAACCTTAAAACAGGTACGGTAAAGCTATCTGAAAGTGAAGTCGCTTTTCATATTGGAAATCTGTGGACCCAGTCCTGCCCTTCCTTATCTGGGCTGAAGGCTTTTTGAAATCTCTGGAAGGTGCAGATGAGTCAAAACTGTGTAAAACCTGGAGGACTTGACCTTTAAGATAGATCTGGGATTATACTTGCCCTGAAGGGCAGATTTTAAGAATGTGGTCCAGTCTGAAAATGACTTCTGAAAGCCAAAGGACAGGAGCTGGCCACAAACTCGAGGGCACTGTCCTGGCACGGGATGGAAGCTGTGAAGATAAGTCCTAGTGGGGAGGGCTGGGAGCAACCAGGGCAACAGCAGGGCATCCTGGAGGGCTCTGATGTTGAGAGAAAAATCACTCTCTACAAGCCAATGAGAAGGCATGGACACATGCAAGGGGAGATGGATGTCGCTTATGGATGTTTCATGCTTTTTGTCTCCCCTTCATAGCAACTTAAAGTTTTTCCCACTTTTTAAGGGAAGTCACAGGGCCAGCAGCCTTGTCTTTCCCTTCTACCATTCTACTGCTCTTTTTCCTCTCCTTCTTACATGTATATTCTTTCCTTCCTTTCTGCCGTAAGAACTTCTCTCTTACCCTCTGCCACATTCTTCCCTCTTTCTCATATTCTTCAAGCTTCCCTTTTTCCTCTGTTCTTCTGTTTCACAGCCTGTGCCCTTTAACTGAATTGTCTCTGACTTCCTGCTTTCCTTTATGGCATGACATATTCTTCATCTTTATCTTTATTCCTGTTCGTACTCATCCATAACCTACATGCTGAGATTTCCTCTGGCTGTATTTTCTCCTTGTAGTCACTCCCTTGTGATTTCTCCCCACGTGGTTAAGTCCATCAGGACTTGATCCTACAACCATAGCTGTATACACAGTTTACCATGATTCAGATTTATGGCTCCTAGTGCCAACTGCGAAAGTTTTCTAAAATCCAGTAAACACAAGCTAGTTAGAAACTCAGACAGCTTGGGACAAGCCAAGCAAAGAATGGTAGTGGCACATAAGGATAACTAAGAGTTCAGCAATGTTCTTCTCTATGTTAATATTCTCAATTACAAATTCTGTCAAGCTTTCACTGTGCCTATTCACCATAACCACTTCTCTAGGTGGATACAGTCATGGTGAAAGACCCATGTCATCTTTCTATTTTTCCCAAAGCCAAGGGCATCACAGTTTTCTTTCTTTTATCTCAGAAAAGTGTCTTCAACACAGGTAAAGTAATACACAAGATGACAAAAAAAAAGAAAAGTAGACAGAGTAGGAAAGACTTGCACGAAAAGGAAGCAAGTCAGATAGAGCACTGCAGCTGAGTGCATCTCCACACACTAATTGTAGAGTTACTGTATCTCATAGAGACACGCTTAGGTTCCCATAATGAAAGCAGCTTGCATTGTATGGATGCCAAGTATGTGGATGCTTGAAGTTGTCTCCCTTTGGCCATCACATTTGCACTTTTCAGGGGAAATGAAACAGCGTGGGGCTGCTCTGGTTCATCATTTTCAGGGGACTTCTTTCTCAGTAGCTCCAAAGCATCTCGCTGCTGATAGGACTGTGAGCAGTAAGCATTGTCCAGGCATGTTTCCAGGCATTTTTCAGAGCATATTTACACACACATGCATGCAAACACATGCACACACTTGCGCAGTTTTTCCATCATTGTTTACACATGCAAAAATTTCAAATTAAAAATTAAGAGGGAATTGAAAGCCCATGACATGTAAATCACCTAACTGGCCCCAAATCATACATTCAAGCAAGGTCAATAGTAGGCTTTACAAAAACAGAAGTGGAGCTAATGCTATTTATGCTAAATGAGTAACTGCAGTAATAAATATTATAGTGTTATACCTATGTAGGCCAGTTTTTTAAGAACTCTCATTAATAAATCTTAAGATCAGGTATTCAGGATATCTTGAGTTTGTTCTTGCAGGTAACTACTTCACCAACAAGGTGGGTGCCATTTAAAAATCTGTATCTTTGCTTGTGGGTTCTGTTTTCCAGTTTCAGGGTAATAACCAACTCAAAGAGATGTTGCAAAGTTAAACACTTAAAAAAAAAAAATAAAAAAATAAAGTCAAGTAATCCTGAAACAGAAATGTGCAAGATAGGTGCAAATCATTGCTTTCTCTCAGCTCAGAGTGACCAAAGTCTTCAATGGATCAACTTGGATCTGATAGCCCTTCAGAATATACTTGCATGCAGATAAGAGTAAGTATTAATTAATGTCAAACAGTTACAGAATTTACTGCTTCTTAGCCTCAAAGGGAGCTGTTTCTCAGGATGTAGAATTTGGGTAAGATGTTTTTTTGTTCAGCTGGAAGCTTTATGGGGCAGATTTCATCCATGGTCCAGAAGTAAATGTCAGTTCCCTTGAGATTTTGGAATTTGATGTGTGTTCAGCCCCAGAAGTCAGGTGATGAACCACAAATTCAGACTCTCAGAAACCAAACACTTTGGGCTTCTTAGAGGTTGGGTTTGTTGATTTTTTTTATCTTTGTTTTAGTTTTTTTTTTTAATTTTGATGGATGATGTTTTGTTCTGCAGTGAGTTTTAATGTGTGCCGCTGTGGAACAATTTCAATTGTCGAAAACAACAACAAAAAGCAATATTTCAATATTTCTCAAGAAAAGGCTTCAAAGGTTTCAGATCTTTTTAAAATGTTTCTGCTTTATTTTGACGTGGCATAAAAGTTTTGTATGCATTCTCGCATCCGCTATTGTGACAGCTGTATTTAATGAGTGCAAAATGATCAGAAAAACATCCTTTACTGTGGGTTGCCATTGCCAGCAGATGACAGGAGAGAGGCAGTACTATAATAAGAGAAGCAATGAAGTTGTTCATACTACTACTGATGAGGTATTTCTAACTCAAATGTCTAGGTGTGCCTTTTGAAAATAATACATTGGTCACATTACCTGATAGTTTCATCAGATTATGTTTCCGAGTGTGTTTTGAAATAAAACTGTGCATCCTTTGCCTCAAGTCATGAAGTGGTTTGTTGCCACATATTATTTGTGGATAACAGTCTGTTTCCCTAGGATGAAGAAGAAAAGGTCCCAGTCTTGTCTATAAATATGGGCCTTTCCATCAATTTGATGCTAAGTAGATCTAGAGTTATGCTAGAAATGAAACATTACACAATATGTTTGCTTTCTGTTACAAATGCATATTTAATATCAGAGTATTTTAGTCCAAATTGGAGAGAGTATAAAAGTAAATCTAAATGGATTTGAAAGGCAGAGTATTTCTTTTTTTTCAAAGCTTTGTCATTCCTGACTTCCTCTGGTGATTGTTAGCTTATCGTGCCTTTGTACAGGAGATCTAAGTATTTCATTTTCTCTTGTGTCTCCATATGGTACCATTTCCCAGATAGTCTTTCTTTGGTCACAAGATGACAGTGAGAATGGATTGTCAAACTGGACCACTATGACACTTTACTCTGGGGGAGAAAATCCTGTGGGTGTTTAGAAGCTTTACTGAATGTTATATTTGATTAACTTATCCTTCTACTGACAAATAATTAGGTCAGCAATTAATTTCAAAATGCAAATGTGCTACAGGCCTTCATGTTTTACGAAATTCCCTTTGTCTTTAATTTTTACTTATGTTAAAGTCTTAATGGATTTAGCTGGGTGAAGGAACAAAATTATGTTTTCTAATGCTTTATTTACTAGGCTGAGTTGGACTTTTTTAGCAAATATTGACTGCAAATGTTTGTTCAGAAATGATCATGTGTGGTGGAATTTAATGGAATAAGAGAACAGAAGAGTAATGATGAACCACTCATTTAAAAATATATATTTTTTTCACACTTCTGCTGCAAAACGTTTATCTGTCTTCATGGATGCAGAACAGAAAGACAAACCAGAGGGTCAGGAGCAGACTGTGGTAGCAAAGTCATTAGTACCTGCTTAAGTAGTCTAAAAAAACAGGGTATATCAGAAAGAAAAACACGCTTAATATTGCTACAAGTGTGGCTCAAAGAAACCTATCTACCGGCCTATCTCAGGGACTTTAATATTAAACAAACACAGATTAAAGGCTCAGTCCTTCCCAGCAGAAGCTCATGGGAGTTTTCTGTTGACTTTAAAGGAGTGAGGCCTTTAAGTCTTAAGTTTTCTCTGATTAAAATCACACAATTTTTTAGAAAATATTCCAAATATGCAGTTGTAAACAAACCCAAGTACCTAGCCTGATATAAAATCTAAAAGAATTTATGTAGGTAATGAACTTATATTAAAATTTGCTAATGGTTTATTTGCTTGATTGATTTAAGTCAAGAAGGAGAGAATCCACTGTGGAATCAAGTGAGGTTTTTTCCTTACAAAATTTTTACTCATTTTAAAATTAAATCTTAAACTGCCCATGATAATCTGCATTTTTTCTTCTGCTTAATTGTGTAAGTAGTTTTGGACAAAATGATAATTAAAAAAGATTGAAAGCCACAGTATTTCATTTTTTATATTTGATTTTTCATTCAAATTATATATTTACATCACTCTTTCTTAAATTACGAATTCCAATAGCTACATGAAAAGAATTCAGGAAAGAAAAATAATAAAAATATTGCATTTTTAGGATATTTCCATTCTGGAAAGAAAAGCAAAAGAAAATATTGTATGGAGTCAAGATCACCTGCCCCATTTATGCAGACAAAGCTTTGTTTCCAATCTTTCCCAGAGGATTAACCCCAGGACCCTCTTTCCATCTTAAGCAGAGTCTGAAAAATTTTTAAAGTTTCAAAAGATGAGAGAATGGCACAAGGCATAAGTTTCATTCTGAATGAGAGAGAATCTCTTTCTCTCCAGAGTTGTGGTAAAGAAAATCAGAAATGTAACTGGATACAAGAGAGCAAAGCTGTTGGGAACTCTGCAGACAGAAGTATCCTTGTAAGACATGGACAATGTTCAAGCTGCTCAGCTGGGCACTGTCATGGGCCCAGTTAAAGCACCACATTTTAAGAAAGATGCAGCTTACAGAGACTGTCCAAAGGTTTGGAGTAGGAGTGATCAGAAGTCTGGAAAATATGACCTGCAATAAAATCTGGACTGGGATGATTTCATCTTAAGAATAAACAAATGAAAGTGGATATAAACAAAGACTTCAAATCTGAAAAAAAAAAAAAAAAAAAATCTGCAAAGTCAAGGATGAGTTTGTGTTTGAGGCCTACAAAGAAACAACTGAAGGTAGCAAACCTATATTTGCTACCAGGGAGATTCAAGTCAGACACTCATAGTCTTTCTATTTGTAGAGAGTTTGGAGCCCCTCTCACTAAAAATCTTTGAAAATTAGTTAAACAAACTACTGTCCAAAGTAACATAAATATAGATTCTGGCTGACAACAATTTGTTATCAGTTACTACTCTAGTTATTACTCTGATATTTTTAATTGACTTGAAGAAGATGATGCAACTCCCACTTGTGTGGAAGTATAAAATAAACTTTTGAATGAATCTAAGGAAAGAAACATATTATGAATGCCCACCACAGCTGCCATTATGAATGGTAGCAATTGAAGATGTGGTTTTTCTACAGGACAGCTCAACAACAGTGAGACAGAATGGTATGTATGCTCAAAGGTTATCTCATTAAAATTGGGGGGGTTGGAAGGGGGAGAAATTAATAAACAATTTAGTGATTAGTAAGCAGGCATTAAATATTATAAAAGAAAGGAAGGCAATATGCCAGAACTTCTTCCTGGAAGTTGAGATTTATTCATCAGCTTTTAGGATCAGAGTCACAACAACTGTGACCAAGCAGAGAGGTACAAGGCAAAGCAATCTTAGACTCTGTCTCAGCATTAGTGTAATAGCAGTTACAGAAAGATACATACAGTGCAACTGGATTAATGCAACCTTAAGTAGGGATGATTATTTTTTTCCAGATAGTATCTTTTAGTTACATGAAAAATAAATATATATATACATATTAATAAATCAAATCACTTTTAAATTAAAAAATAATGATAACAAATTTCAAAGGTCATACTGTGTAAAGCAAATCTTTCAAATCTAAATGACCTCTGGAAGCGTTTACATAAGTGTTAAAGTACATAGTAAGCTACAAATGATTCTAAAATATTGTTGCACACTAAAATTAAGATATTTCAAGATATTTTATTATCTTTTTTATCTGTTTACACTGATATGAGAATACTAAATAATCTAGCTGTTTTACAAAAGCCTTCTGCTAGCTTCACTCCTCTTGGCTACTTGTATGCTATAATTCTCTCTTTGTCTAAAACAGGGAATAACACCACATCCTGCATCACCATATTGTGTATTTTTCTCTTTCTCTTTCTGTCATTCTTGGGAACCAACAGATTTTCCTTATCCTGCAAAATGGAGATGTTGTATTTCCTTGTGGAGATCAAAAGAGCATTTCCTTTAGGAGTGCCAAGCAATGGTGTAGGTCTGGTGAGTGTTTGTTTTTCCCGTCATCTGTTTTGAAGGGCATGATCTGTGTGCAGTTTGAATATGGGCTTTGAAGGCTAGTTATGCCTAGAATATAAAGGTGTCAAAATAATTATTCAACTGAAACTTTCCTGGCAATCTGGGCCTTTTCTTTGAACGAGAAACCAAAATTAAAATGCCTTGCTTGCTAGTTTTTTCAGAAAAATAAGATGACAAACCTTAGCCTTTTCTTATGGCACAAACCGTATTTAAGATATGACTGCAAATGGTTCTTTCCAACTTCAGGTAACCTTCACGTAACCTAAAGAAGGAAGGAAGGAAGGAAGGAAGGAAGGAAGGAAGGAAGGAAGGAAGGAAGGAAGGAAGGAAGGAAGGAAGGAAGGAAGGAAGGAAGGAAGGAAGGAAAAAGAAAGAAAGAAAAAGAAAGAAAGAAAGAAAAAAAGAAAGAAAAAGAAAGAAAAAGAAAGAAAAATCCTATGCTCCCCAGCTGCAGGCATCATGGAAAAGTGCCTCAGGCCCCACACATGTGACTTCACAGCAAAACCTAGAGCCAGCCCTGAGGGGTCTAGCACAGAGAGCAAAGTAATGTGACTGTGATTACAACATGTGGAAATTAGAAGCCCTCTTGTTTTAAGAAGGTAGGTTATCTACTGAGCCTGTTCTACGCTTCTTTCAACTATAATGTACTGAACAAAGGCTGTCTGTAGAAGATGCTTTATTTCTCCACCAAGTCTATGTCACTTAGAGCTTTTTATGCTAGACTGGTTTTAAAAACTTCAATTTAAACCAACATGAAAGGTTCTTAAACAGTAAATAGCATATTATATCAAAAACAAATAGATTAAAAAGTGAACATCCATAGCCAGTATATTTCTTTCCAGAAGAGCTTCGCTTTCCACACTAACTAAAACTGTAAGACTGGCAGATCTGGGCCAGAGGTTTGTAATGGGCCTTTTACTTTTTTTTTCTTCCTTCTCCAGTGATAAATAATCAGTTTTAGAGAATTGATAAAAAGAGACAAGAATGAAAAGTGAGTGTGACACATTTATGAGACGGATTTTTCATCTGTTTCTTAAATATAGCACCTTTATTTCAGATCATATTAAAAAAAGAGACGGGAGAGCCACCCAATTTATGTTGTGCTGCAGTAGTGAATACATATGAATGTATGGAGCATAGCCTGAGAGAGCAAGAAAATTCACCAAAAAAAATCCTGACAAGTTGAAAAAGTTATGTTATCATTCAAGAGTCATTTATTTAAAAAGGAAAAATAAAAAACAGGCCACATGACTAGAGGCAGCAGGATAAAAACACATTGTTTCCAGACAAACCCCCATCAAAGACATATGACTGGGAATTCTGAAGTCAGAATATCTTCATATTTTAAATTTCCATGAGTACTTTCAAATAAAGTTGGATTTTCACTATATGATTTGCTTCATGTTTCCCACTACAGATTGATAACAAGGAGTAGCATTAACAGTATTTTTCCCCCACCATTCCTCTCTCTGAAGCTAATGGAGTCAAGGATTTGTTACTTGATCTAATGGCAATAGCTTTCCAATAGACATGCACAGAATCATTGATTAGTTTGTCCTCTCCTTGTTTGCGTTGGAACACTGTTCAATTTACACCAATTAAAGAATGCTTGGTTTGTGTATTGAAGAATAATTAAGGAATGGAATTCCCTATAGGCTACTAAAACTGACATCTGACTGGAATGGTGATTACAGCATGAAGGCAGCATTAGTATTTAAATAGTTTGACTGCTATATAAAATCATTACAGCATCTCACCATGAAAAAGAGCATTAGTTAATTTTGCCTATAACAAAATTAGTTGTATATATTTGCCTGGTCACTTTAAGCAAATTTGACAAGGCTAATCTTAAAGCAAGTGTTCCAGGTTTGGTGGAAGGAGCAGATAGAGCACTGTTTAAAGTAATAACCATATATTTACGTAATTTTCAACCAAAATATAAATACACAAGAAACGAAGAGCTTTGTCAGGGACATTCAAATAAAATTTAAACATAAAAACACATTGGTTGCTGCAGCTGAAAATCCAAATGTAACTGGCACATTAATTAAACAATCAAGGCTTCACAAACCACAAACACACAAGAAATCCTTTTTTGTCCATCACTGTTGTTCTCCAACTTTTAACATCCCTTCCATCATTGCACAGAATGAGGCATCATGGGAAGTAAACAGGCATGGTGGAAGGAGTTATCTTTGCAAGTAGGTCTCCCCTGTGAAATAACCCAAAGAATTTAAAAATAAAAATAAAATAAAATAAAAATAAAAATAAAAATAAAAATAAAATAAAAATAAAAATAAAAATAAAAATAAAAATAAAAATAAAAATAAAAATAAATAAAAATAAAAATAAAAATAAAAATAAAAATAAAAATAAAAATAAAAATAAAAATAAAAATAAAAATAAAAGAGTAGCCTAGCACATTCATACGATGCTTGCTTAGACGAGCTCTCTTTTTGGGTTACAAGGTGGACGTCCATTCCTGAAAGCATATTTTAGGAAAGAGGGATTCCTATCCTCAATTTAGCTTTCTCTTGTGCATATTAAATTCTGTCTCCTATCTTTAGAATATAGTATCTACAGAAATGATATGTCCAAAATATGACAGTAACATTACTGTAAGATGAACTTCTTAGGGCCATTTCTGGAGCATATTTACCTTTCCATAGCCTACTTAAATATAGCGTGTTTGTTTTACTAAACTTAGATACTGCAGTACATTTATAAGGTCATCCGCCTGCTTCAAGACCTCACATTGCAGCTACTATCCTTCTTATGAGAATTTATGCAGTTCCTCTTGAAGGTTGTCAACACCCTCTTTAATTCATTAAAGGCTTCTCTGTGAAGGAACATAAGACTTTTCCATTTAAGCCTCTAAAGGGAACGAGACTTATTAGCATGTCTACATTGTGCAATGCATGACTGTGTTAAAGATGCCCAAGCTCCCAAACCCATATTCCAAATGAGGTGATACATCTGCACAACACAATATACCCTTATTTGTGTGGTCCAGCATCCTGGTCAATCTGCAACACTTCTTTGCAGATCAAACTAGCCTGGGCGCCATTCTGTTCTCCTGACTGTGCCTGGTTCTACAGGTAGCTTAGAAGATACCTTCACTGCACCATATTCCAATGTATTGACCTACCTTAAAACAAGGTTTGGGACAGTACATTTCACTGGAGAGTACAGCCATTGAGTTTCCCTTAGTTTTGTTTCAACATTTAAAAAGCCTTTTGGCTTTTGTTTTGATTTTGCATGAGCAGTTCTCTCTTCTGTACTAGACCTTCTGTTGGGATCTCACACTATAATCTGCCTGAGTGGAACCTGGACTTTCAGGAGTGAGACTAATACTTCCTTTCAATGAATAATCTTCTCTTGCAGCAAGGCTGATATAAGGGTGTATTCTTCCCTCCACCCACAAGAAGAATGTCCATTAATTTCAATAGAAACTCTCCATGCAGAAAAGGGAGAACTGTGCCCTGGGGAACATTCATGGAAGATTAATGGTGAGGAGAGAAAAGTGATACAGTACTGAGCAGAACAAAATCCGAACCCACCACACAAATAAAACTGGACAAGGGTTCATTTTTTAAGTCAGTCAAAACGGCAGGAAGGCTTTGAAAAAAATCAGAGCTGTTTCAGTGCACGTTTGCATACATTGGCTTTCAGGAGACATGAATAGAAACCTAACAGTAACTCTTTTTTCATACCTCCTTTCACAGGTCTCACTGGCAAAGAAGGATTTAGCACTTAATTCCTGTACTTTTATGTGGCAAATTAGGAATTTGCACCTTAAAAGGAAATTGCTTTTCAAACTCCCATAAATTCTGGATTTTATTTTTTTAAATGGTGGAAAACATTCCCTACCTACATCCCAACACATAATAAATAGCACTCTCCATTAAGTCTCCTCAGAAAGGTGTAGGAAGGTAGACCTGTTTAAGGAGAGGTGTTTATCATTCCTTCTGAGGAGAGGCTAAGGGTCTACAGCATGTCCTTAACCATTTCATCTGCTTGGCCCTTTCCAGTTTAAACTCACACACTGCACCATTACTCAAAACCCAGTGTCAGTTGGGAAAAATATTTACCTTAAGGTGTGGTTATTTGATGAAGTAGGACTGACTGACATTGAATAGCCCAGACCAAAACTAGAATATGAACCAAGCTGGAATGCATTTTATTTTTCAGCTTAACATCAGCTAAAAGTAAAATCCTTGCATTATCTTCACCACCATTTTAGACAACAGCTGGTTGGTATGTGACTTCATGAGATAGCAGAAAGATGGTGAAGTGGACTGAGACTGTGTGAGAGCATGCAGTAGACCACAATCAATATCTCTCTAGGAGGAAGCACTGAAGGTATGGCTGGTTCTGCTGACAGTAACACAAGATTCCTTTTCAAAGGTGAGGTGGTACCCACTGGAATGGGACAAAGGACACAGTTAGAGCACCCTAAAATGTTTTTCTTCAGAAAGACAATGAAAGACAGAGAGAAAGGAAAACACAGTAATATCCGGTGAAGAAATATATTCCCACAATGTTGCACTACCCTGGCAACCATGGCTGTCAGCGAAACACCCCCTCTTTACACTGTCAATACCCAAGAGAAGATAAACTTACCAGAAAGTTAGTACACATCCTGACTTGATTTATTTTTGAGTCTTTTTTGGCCCGGTTTCTGCACTTAAGTACATCAAGGCCAGAGGCAGGTGTCTGAATGGCACTGTTTTTTTCCTCTTTAATCTATGAGGCAATGTTAAAAAATAAAAAATTAAAATAATAATAATAATAAAAAGAACAATCAATGATATCATAGAGCATGTTCTGGATTTGTCTAAGCCTAAGTAACTCAAATACTAACACGTGAATTTAGTAAAGTTAGAGCGTGCGGAGTGGAGATAAATTACAGCGCCAATTGAAGTTGAATGTGATATAGAAATACAACCAACAGAAGACAGTCTGGAAACAATTATTCAGAAAGCTGCTGACCCTCTACTTCTTTTAAGAGTTAAACATTTGGATTGGTTAACTGGCTGCCACAATAACAGGCATATGCTCTAATCTTTGATCCATAGCTGAATTTGCAACTCTTTGTATGAGAAGCAGATCACGTAGATTTGCATATTTTTTAAGGATCTGCAGGGAGAAAAAGAACAAAAACTTCTCTTCCAAGATTCCACCTTGAGATCACACAGAGTGTCATGGGTTCCCCCAAGTACACTAATGTTCAGAGCCAGTTGCAAGACTCATATTTTATAAATGGCCCTGAACTGTGACATTCACATCCGAAGTTCAATCAAAATTCCTCCTAGAACAGAGAACTGCAAGCCAAAAGTTTGCTTCATAACTCTTTACAGAGTTATGTACGTCTGTCATTAAGACCTCATTTCTTCATCCAAATTCATGTCAGAACATTCCTAAAACCTGAAGGAGGCTAGAGTTAATAGATAAATAAGATTTTTTTTGTGGCTGTTGTCCACACTCAAATGCATGAGCAAATAACAGATTTCTGTCAAGGTCTTGACATCATCATAGTTTTGGCAAAATTTTCTTCTGTTGATGAAAATTCCACAGACACAAGAAAAACATGAATCACCCCACTGGAAGGATGAATGTTAACCAAACCTAATTTCGTATATGTTCAAGGTTCATTTCTTGCGCATCTCTGTTTTCAACACTTTCTACCAACTGAAAGATATTTACTTATCACTCATTTCGCATCATCAGAATGCATCAACAGTAGAGTTTATATCACAGGGGACTTCCTCCACTTGGTAGTATTCCCCCAGAAAGTAGCTACTACTGACAGAAGTGAGTAGCATATAGATTACTGTGAAGAGGTATTCATCTCTGCAGATGTTATCAGTTGTGGGATGTTTCTACATAGTTTTTACTCCATTTGACAGAACCCCTATCACTTTACAATATGCCATCTGTGTTAATTCACCTGCAAAACACTGTTTGATAACCACAAAAAGTCAGTGATAGTTGTTATTTTTTTATGAATAGTTCTTTTAAATCCTAAACAAAAATATGGGTCATTACATGGGACTATAAGATATGTGCAGAGAAGGCAGTACAAAGGCACAGAGAAGGCACACAAGATATTCTGTCTAGCTTCCTTAGAGATAGAGAATGGTAAAAGTTTGGTTAACACATAAGGTAGTGCTTCCATTTGTCTTGTCTTGTGGGCAGGCAAGACTTTGCAAAATCCCAACAAAAATCTCGTGAAGTAGGTGGTGCACATAGTACTATGTATAGGTAGAAAGTGAGGTGTTGCGATGGCATTCAGAAAGCTTATTTTGAGAATGATCAGACCATCAACAGGTGAAACAGAACCCAAAACAGAAAGAATAACCTCAGTCTCTTAAAGAAGGACGAAAGCGACAGAGAAAGAGAGTAGTGTACAGATTTTAATGAGAAAAATTATCAGCCTGAGTCCTGACAGTTGTGTAACCCACTTATTTTGTGTGAAGGCAGGGTACAAGAATGGAGAAATAGGAATTGCCTTAAGTACTGTATAATACGATTTCAATTACTTCACTTAGTTATTGCTAAGCACATTTTATAAATGCCATATCCAAACATTATATTTGTTCTGGTCATTGAAATGATGCTTTCAAACTGATCTGAAAATGTATTGTGTTATATTATGTCAATGTAATATCATAACTGTACAAAATTGGTAATATCAGATGAAATAACTTAAAAAGATGCATCTCATCAGTTCATTCTCTGTATCCTAACATCTGTGAGGAGTACAAGGCCGTTTGCTGCGATTTTGCTCATGCACTGTTAAGTGGGATACTGGTATATCAGACAAAGATATGTAGACAAAGTATTCAAAGATAAAATGAAAACATCTTCATCTGATGAAAATGAGATCAAGAAAGTAACATTTCTCTCTACATCATATAAAGTAGAAAATCTGAAAATCATTTCAATGAAAAAAGATTAAGACTGGGATGTTTAGGGGGCATCATTATTGCTGCAGACTACTGCATAAGACAAAATATATATATATCAAACCAGTATAGCACTAAATTGATTTAAATTAAAGATGGTAATGAACCAAGACATTGACAGCGGTATAATGTCACCTTGGTGGTTTGGTTAAAGGCAATCACCTGCACTCTTTCTGTAGTTGAGAGAGAGAGAGAGAGAGAGAGAGAGAGGGAGAGACTCTACCAGTAATGGAGAACTATTTTTATTATAGGAATCTGAGATACCACCCTAAAGTGGCTAGTTGAACTGAGTAAGATCTGGAAGTGTCACGTGTAGAGGACAGAGAAAGAAAAAATCAACTGAGACTAGGTAGCTAATTCTAAGACAACTAAAGAAAGGGGTAGTGAATCCTGCACTGTATGTAAATTCACAAACTTTAGGAAATTAAGGACACAAATAAATTTATAAGCCTTGTTTTTTCATTCATTTCAACAGATGTACTAGGCATAAACATGCCTGTTGATGTCTTGATATGGATTTCTTGGACTGGACTTTGACATCTCTACAACTGTGGATCCTGAGACATATTTAACATCAACATAAAAAAGTTAGGAAGTTCAGTGTCTTTTATCTACTCCCAAAAGCCAATGAAGAAACAGAGCTGTCTTATGTCAGATTTTCCTTCTCCTTCACTTGAAATAAGAAAGTGAGTGAAACAAGAATAATCCCCACCATTTTAAAAGTGAGGACCACCCCAGTCATAGCAGAAACACTTTTCTCGTTTGACAGATGAAGCCAAAGAATTGTTTTTAAGCAGTTTCCATACCTGTGCCATAGGCTATTATAGTTGACGTCTATCCATCCCATACCAAAGGGCAGCATAATTTATCTTGTATCTCAAATCAGGTATATATATATCTTCGCCTGTTTGTAATACTAATTAAAATAGTAATCAGGAATCTAATTCTGTAAATAGACCAAGTAATGGTCATCAAAGTTCAATGAAATAAGTTTTATGTCACAAAGCTCAGTAGTGTTTGCAAACCCGTGCTTTCTGGCTGACATTATAAAAATGACCTTCTTTTGAAATGTCTGGACTTAAGGCCAGCCTACAGTGACCAGAGAATAAATGAGGACATGGAGAATATTTGCCCCATTTCTAATGTTGTAGTTCTGTCCTTCGTAATCATTAAAGATTGGATAGGCCATATGGCAACTTCTGTCTTTCTTTAAACAGAAAAGGAGTGGGAAGAAGCAAATAAATATACACAAGAGAAAGAGGGAAAAAGAGAAAGAGAAAAGATTGCCGCAGCACTCTGACTTTCCTTCACCAAAGGTAAAAGACCAAATGGTTCCTTTGCTTTGCTAAGGGCTAGCCCATGGGCTAGGATCCTGTGGTGCTGAACACTCAGCCTGTCACTCTGCTGCTGCATGCCAGGGGGCTGTTTGCCATGCTGTTGGAGGAGAGGGCTCTTGCAGGGAGCTGCTCCTCTTCAGAGCATCTTCCCAGGGGGAACACTGGTTTGCATCAGCGAGTATTTAACCCACCTGTGACAGATGCGGTGCAGAGCAGTGGTACTGAGTGTAATAAGGCAGCTGAATAAGGTTTGATGAGAGTGGCTGCAGCAATGTGCAGAAACATCCTTCAGTGGAGCAGCTAGAGAATACCAGCTGAGAGCTAGGCCTCACCTGTAAGGTGAATATAAATCTTATGCTGGGTTATGCACCAAAACGCCCCAGAGATCCCCACAAATCCGTGTAAAGTGGGTCAGGAGACAAGTGCAACAAGCTAACAGAGGAGTTATATGAATCTCTTGCATCATGTCTGCTGCTGAGAGTCGTGCAGAAATTCCTGTGCCAAAGGCACTTTGCAAAGAAAATCAGAGTGTGGCCTTTATACAGATTGAAGTCTCTGAGGAGGAAGTTGTAGAGTAACTTGAGAAACTCAAGTGCAGTAAATCACCACAACCGGATGGTGTTCATCTGGGAGTTCTGAGGAGAAATAAAGTGAGAAAAAGCCAAGATACTGACAAGGGGATGCCTTCTTCCCTTGAAAAATGTAGCAGCACAAGAAGGCTGGGAAGGCCTATTATGTTGCCTGTCTTCAAAAGGAGATGAGGAAAATCCTGGGAATTGCAGAGCTTTGAAGTTTACCACAGTTTTAGGGAGCCCAATAAACCAGTTCCAAACAGTAGCTAAAGAGACAATTTGTTGGACAGGAACACCCTATGAGGGTGTTCCTCAGTCTTTCAAATGACTGAGGCTGGTACCAGGGGACAAGTACCTCTCCATATGACTGGAATATTTTGAGGAACCATTGGAGAGGCCTTCATAGGGACAGGTGAGATAATAGGGACTTGTCAGAAGAGGGTGACCATGTGCAAGTGTTCCAAATATTCAAAAGGTTTTGCAGAGGTCACTAATAAGCAATTGTTATAGTGGATAGTAAGAAATAAAACTGAGAAAAAGATCTAGAAGATGAGGTGTTACTGGAATGAATTGCAAATCAATCCAGAGAAAGTAAATACATGAACATTCCTCTTTCTGGTAAGGGGAAATGTAAGCACTGAGCAGTGGGTTATTAGGACTAGTTTTATTATGAATAAAAAAGTCTAGATCCCAAATCCTAATGTATTTAAATTAGAGTATCCAGAGTCTACTCCAGATCTAAATCCAAGTCTCACATGTGGTTCCTATCATAAAAATGGACGAAACAGTTCCTGGATTCAAACTTGTAAAGCTCTGAGGTTTGCATACTCCATATCAAGCCCACTTGATAGATACATATGAAATACAGAGTGTGGGTATCTATGTGTATAACATGCAGAGGAAACAATTTGATGCAAACTCAAAACAATTTTAAAAGTGATTCATGGCAGAGAGTGCTCTGATACCGAGATTGCATAAATGAGTATTTGCTCTCAACATTAACTTGCTGCAGCTAGTTGAAAGGGAAAGAGACCACAAGCAATAGGACTGTGAATTTTGTTAGGTTTCGTGAGCCTGCTTACCATTAAACATTTTAAATTATTTGGATTTACATGATTTTATATGCTTTCAATTTCTCTCCTGTTTTTTGGTTGTTGTTGTTGTTGTTTGTTTGTTGTTTTGTTTTGTTTTGTTTTTCATTTCCTACAGGCTCAGTGCACTGGAGGCAAAGCTACTTGAGCTTTAATTCACTCTATCTCTTTGAAATCATTAGATTTCAAAGGAAGTCAGAGGTAGGAATTAAACAAAATATAGAAAGTGGGACATTTCTGACTGGCTTGTACACTCGCAGTGTCTAAAAAGAAAGCTTTCTTTTAAAGCAAACTGTAGGAGGGCTTGTAAAAATAGATATTTACATTTGCATACTGGGACAGATCCTCAACTGCCACAAAACAGTATTACTCCATCATCTTGAACAGAGCTAAACCTAACCACTACAGCTGAGATCCTGGTTCTCACGCATGTACATGTGTTTGAAATATGTTTAGGATTCTGTATTCTTCTGAATGCACATAAGCTGCTGCTTCTTCCAGGTGCTTTTGCTTGTACTCTAAGTTGTGAAAATTAAAGCTGTTCTGTATTTACCTGAGGGTGATATGTTCAGGGAGGCAAGGTGGGGAAGAAGGTTGAAGTGCAAATAGAAAAACACATGCAGAAAGGGTCTGGAATGAACAGAGAGTCCTGGAGAAGAGGGTGGGGGAGAGAAACAGGAAAGGAAATGATGCCCCACTAAGCCATGCTGGGGTCTAAGGGCATCACTTCTTGACAGCAACCAAGCACCAAACAATATCTGCATTCACAGCTACAGGGAGCTAAGCTGTGGCTGAGCAGCAACCATGACTCTTGGAAAACACCTCAAGTGTTTCCTGCTAGATAGCACAAATAGCAGGAGACCTGCTATTGATAGCAAAGTGGAGAAAAAGCAGTTCTGCATTCAGCTGTGCTGTCGCCAGAGTCATGTAACAGGACACAGAGTATGTGTCACATCAGATAGTGCTAATAGGTGCCAACAGTCACCTTCACTCCCTCCCCCTCAGTTTGTCCCTGTGTGAGAGTCGAGTGGAACACTGTATTGCTGCGTGCTTCTGCCCACACAGTGGGACCCTGGTACTGATTCAGACAATACTGGACTCTAGACACATAATGTACACTGAATATCCATAATAAATAATAATTACCACAGTAGGGGGCAGCAGCCAGCTGTGGAGGAAAAGAAGGGCCAGCTGCTGGAAGAGAAGTAGGCACTGGCTGAGCATGCAGGCTGGGCACTGGGGAGGGCGAGAGGGCCATGGCTGGGAGCCAGTGTCAGCTTACTGCCAAGAAGAGGGAGATAAAGGCACAAAAGAGGTTCACCAGAGGGAGCTGCTCCTGGCCACCCCTCAGCAATTGGTAGCAGCCCCGATCCAGGAGGGAAGGCTGATGGCAAACAGGAGCATCACCAGCCAGAGTGTGCAGCCCACACTGCATGCTGCTTTGGAGCTGGTGGGATGGATGTTGGTAAGCCAAGCACACGTGCTGCGGGGAAGCAGTGCTGCACATGTCTCTCATTTGCAAGAGAGCCATACCTCCCCCAGAAATGAGCACATTCTTATACTATTCTCCTCAGCATCTCCTTAGAGGCATCTCCAGTTGAAGTAGTGTCAATAGTCTGGGAACGTAGAAAGGTCCCCAGAAGTGAACAATGTTTTTCTGAAGAGCCCCAATAGCTGGTTCTCCGTGATTTTGTTAGGAGGCGTTTCTGGGCAGTACTGAAGATCCCCAAAGAGCAGCATGTTTAGCTGTCTGAATTCCTCTGAAGATCTGACGCTTAGGGCTTGGGGTCCCCAGGTGATATGGTAAATGGTAAACTGCACATACTTAATATTCCTGTTCTGCAGCTGCAATTTATCATAATTTTAAAATATTATTCTACCCACCCTGAAGTCATTTCCAAGACCAAGTTGGTTCACCAGTCTCATTTTCACAAGGTTGTTCATGGCATGCTCCCCACATACTGGCTGCTCAGCAAAGTCAATAGCATCCCAGTGTAAGCTCCTTTACTTGCCCCCTATGTAATACATACCAATTTCATCAGCACAATGTAACAATGAATTAGCTCATGTTCTGTGTAGCAATTATAACAGTGTGGCAGAATTTAGCTTGGTGAAATTTTGCTTTGCTTATATTCATGTCTTTATCTTCAAGCTTGCTTTTTGTGCCTGGTTATTTTTCACTGAGTTCAAATGCAAATAGATAAACCCTGTTTGCATTTCCTTCCAAAGGAGGAGTGTGTTTATTTCCAGATTCTATATACATCCGCTGGGAAAAGTCACACAGGACAAACCAATTTGGGGGGATTGTTTGTTTGTTTGTTTGTTATGTTTTTTGTGTCCCTAATTGGCTGAATACAGTGCATCTGATGTAGGTGATGTTAAAAAGAAGGTACTTTTCTTCTATTTCTCAAGAGATACTTTCTTTTTTGTTTTCATTTTTGTTTTCTTTTTCGTTTTCTTTTTCTTTTTCTTTTTTTTTCTTTTTCTTTTTCTTTTTCTTTTTCTTTTTCTTTTTCTTTTTCTTTTTCTTTTTCTTTTTCTTTTTCTTTTTCTTTTTCTTTTTCTTTTTCTTTTTCTTTTCCTTTTCCTTTTTCTTTTCCTTTTCCTTTTTTTTTCCCCCAGTAAAAACAAAGGGCTAGTGTATGACTATAATTTTATGTAGCCCACAAAAAAGTGGAGAATTTGATAGAGGACAATCTCTGGCAAATAAGTCATGGTAGCAGGGAGAAATGTCCATAATTTTTTCAGGTAATAGCCAAGCACAACCCAGGTGTTAGCTCAAATACAAATTCTTGGGCAATGAAGAGTCTGTATGTTGAATATATAAACATTTCAAATCCAAAGAAGCAGATTCTTTCCAAATAACTTCTATCTGAACATCTGACCTTAAGAGCCAGCCTCAGTTAAGTGCTGGCAAACACCAGGATTTGGAAGGAAGTTAGGGGTGTTGCACTATTTTGAAAGCTCTGTTTTGAACCAGCTGTCATTGCGAATGTCTGCTGGTACCCCGTCTTAGCATACAGCCTGTCACTGTTGAGCATAATGGTAACGAGCCAATGGAGTGTATTGAGCTTTACTTTCTTGTGAGTCTTTGTGGCTCAGATTTTCCCTTTACATGTACATAGTCATAACAGGTAAGCTTTGAATCTATTTATGCCATATCCTAATTGGTTGTGTTTAATTTGTGTATATGTCTCTCTTTGACTGTTTGTACATATATATATGCATATTTATATGCGCATATGTACATTTGGACATCAGTATTAAATGTAAATATGCATATTGTCACAGCTTATTGCTATGTTCATCACAGATTCTTAGAATAGTTGGCTTTATTATACAATAAAACAACCATAGAAAGTTAATGCCTTCTTTAGAATAAATAAGGAACACAGGACTCATTATACCATATATGTTTAATGGTTTGAACATCTCAGTGCCCACATGAAAACAAGGAAACATATATTGCAATAGGCAGCATAATTATCCAGCAAGGAACATCCATCCTACACTCCTAGAAATATGAGATTCAGCATCACGAGATCCTAGGATTATGTCATCAGCTGCATGAGTTTCACAGCTTATCTTTCTGATTTTAGGTTACAGAAGTAAACTCTAACAAAAATGTATAACACTGCCAATTTAACAGCACATTTATGTTAATACTAGCTGAAATGTTTTCAAGAAGGTGAATAGGATCAATGTTTCTGTATGAAAGTGTGCAGTTATGTATATATATGCATACACACACATGCACACATAAATACACGCACATATGTGTGTGCACTGTGTATATAAACTGTCTGTAGAGATGTCATTATTTTTAAAGGTTGATTCCAAGTATATTAAGCTCAAAAACAATGTTCTGTACAGTTGACCAATTTAAAGAAGCCCCTGCTGGTGCATGGAAGAATGAGCTAGCTGATATCATTAAACATCATCAGATGAGGCTGCAGGTAGCCGAAACGTTCCTTAATGAAAATTTAAAGAGAGCAGATTAAAATGATATTCCTCCAATCCAACAGAACACAAAGGTAAAGACATTCAATTACAACCAAGATCTCATTTAGAACTAAAGGAGTGTTGTTTGTTGATCAGAATTTATTGCTTGAAGTGAACAGCTAAGCTTGTGACTATATATATAATTACTTTTTACAAGGTACTCTAGTGGCACTTAAATATAGTTGCTAGACAAGACAATACCTTCCATAATTTTAGATTGTGATGTCCATGACCAAGAGTTTGAAAATATCAACAACAGCAACAAATACCTTTTCATCCATGCTAATCTATCTCCTAAGGTTGTGAAAAATAAAATAACTCCATAGTGACAAGTATTTGAATTTTGAACCACTATATTAACTCTTTTAATAGGATTTTTTTTTTTTTTTGACCAGTAAAAGAAGTGGTACCAAGGAAATGGTTTGAACAGGATACTATACCTGTATGTCTGCTCAAAAAAACAATGTTTCCCCTGGACGCATCAGGAGTGTTTTTCATCGAGAAGAGATTGAGGGTGCTCAGATCTATACCGGGTCTGTCATTAGTTAAGAGAAATACATCACATCTTTAAAATCTCATAACCACAAAAGATATTGACAGGCAGGAATGGGACAAGAGGAGATGAAGAATAACCAGGGGACTGAAAGGAGTGATTTATCAGAGAAAATTAAATGAGCTAAATATGTGTGGGCTGACTTAATGTTAACTAAATGCAACATCATTGTAATCTAAAGACACTGGAGGTAAATAGCATCCATGAAGGAAAATAAGGGGGGTTGCAAAGGAGCATAACTAGGATGTGGAGAAAGGGGAAAAAAAAAAAAAAAAAAAAAAAGACACTTCTAACAAGATACACTAGACAGCACAATCTCTCCCTGGGGACATGGCCTCACTTAGGACATTTAATCTAGGCACAGAAAACAACCAAAAATATGCCATATGCCTCACGGTGTCAGCAAGCTGTACTGGATGACCTAAAAGGTACATTGCTAATTTGTGTGCATCCGTTATCTGTGATTTTCCTTGCTTGTATGGCCAACTCATTGTTCCTTGTGTGTATTTGGTTTCTCTGGGCCCAATCCAACTCTTGCTGTAGTCAGCAAAAGTTTCCGATAGGAGCAATAAGACCTCAGTGTCTTTTCCATGTCTTTGGTTTTCTTAAAAAAACAAAAACAAAGCCCAACAACAACAAAACCCCACCCTGCAAGAGCTATGAATTTATACTGTGTATGAATGTACAAACAGCTAAACCAGATTTGTCCCTTAATATTTCTTGTGTATTTAAATCTGTGTTTATCATTTAAGATAATCGGGAAAACAAATATGTGTTTGTTTTCATACAGAAGAGTTAAAATATTTGGTAGGGAAGAAACTTACAGTTCATCCTAAAATAACTTCTGATGAAAAATTGCTTTGGTCATGGAAGAATTAAGACAATTTTCTATATTAAACCAATAAATAAATAAATAAAAGGCATTACACAAAAATGGCAGAGCTCTTTCTAGTGTAAAAGTAGTAATGCAACAGATGAAAGGAGCTAACAATGAATTCTGAACTCAAGACTGTATCTTCAAATATTTCTCCCCAGTATCTGCATTCATAAAATGCTTCAATTCCAGCTCACCTGAAGGTAGGGAATAACTATTTTGTGGCAACTCAGTGTTGGCCCCTTGAGAGGCACAAATTTCTGTCTAAGTGAGGCTGAACATTCAGGGGTCAGGGCTGTGTTTTGGTGTTGTCTATATTTCTAGCAGCTGGTATTGTAAATCTTAAGAGCAGTGTTTCCTGAAAACACTAAACAGACATTTTGGTAGCCAGTATTGAGCCTGTGGCTATACTGCTTCAGGCTGTGATCTTGTCAGCTTTTACAAGATAAGTAGGGTCAGGCAGGGTCAGCACTTGGATTGGTAACTCTAAGGCAAGCCGGTAGCTGCGGGAAGTGTCTTAGGCAGTAGAATGGATGTAGCTGTTTTCCTTGAGCCTTTTCTAATACCTTGATGAAGGCATCATGCCCAGCTGTGACATGACAGCAAGATCCTCACACTCTGCAGTCATCAAGCACCTCGTTTTCAATAGGGGTCTTCCCCTGACCTGGTGTGGAGGTATGAGGTACATTAAACAGGAGACAGCAGTGCTCAGTTATTGCTTGCATGCATGCATGGCACTGCCTGGACAGAGTGTAAGCGCACAGCCTCAGAATCCTGCATCAGGAAGGGGGTACAGAAGAATAACATGTCTAACATCTTTGGGCAATCTCGCAGCTCCAAATAAGTCTTTGGCTGTGTTTATAGTATGAAAGCCAAGTCTTTTGAACCAAGACCTTGTACACCAACTTTCAGCCTTGCACTATCTTACTAGAAAGTACAGAAGGACTAATAATGAAATCCTTGCCCAATGGTCTACATTGCCAAGAATTTTAAATTGTAAGTTAACCAATTTATCCTCTAAAGTTCAAACAATAAATAAAATTCTATGTGAAAAATGGAGCCTTTTATTCCTTTGTCAAAATCTGATCAGAGTAAACTACAGATGTTAAAAGGCACTATAGTTCAAAGAATTAAAAAGAATCTTATGGGGTTTGTACGAAGAAAAGAGTTTTAGAGAATAATACAGAAAATATTATAATGCCATTATATAAATCAGTGGCACATCCTCACTTTGAATACTGTCTTCAAATTTGGTCACCTCATCCCTGAAAAAAAAGAAAGTAGAAATAGAACAAGTCCAGAGAATGGCAATAAAAATGATAAAAGTCAAAAGGATGTGGAATTTCTTGAGAAAAGATAAAGAACAGAAGTCCCAGCCTGTCTCTCAGGGTAGATTCACCCTCATGGGACTGCAGATTTTACATTAAACCTTTCCATAAACTTGGAACAAACTCTGTTGCCTGAGTTAATCTAGAAGATGCCCTTGTCCTCTAGCTGGAAGGTTTAGGGACCTTGCATGAGACAGATGTTGCAAATTCTTTCCTCAATGCATTCTGCTCTCTTAAAGGGATGACTTCAGAGCATGAGACTCTGGAAGCCAAAGTGACCTAAGGACAGTGCTGCATATTAGCTACACCTTTTTATTTTCATCAACTACATCCCATACTCATTTTTAAGTCTCAGTTTCAAAAACTTCATTTTTCCATACCTTTCTTTCCTTCAGACTTTGGATTCGTTTTTCAGAAATGCACAGGTGATTCAGAAGTATGAATCCATTGACTTGTCTAACATTTTTTTCAGTGAAATCATTCAGCTCTTTCAAAAATGTGCCATTTGTCTATTCAAATAGTCTCAGCCCCGAAGGAATTGCACAGTCTCCCTCAGTTTGCACAATGGGATCCCCAGGCTTCGTCAGAGCTCTACTTAAGCATGACTATAATATAAATAACATTTTGTCCTCATGATCCTCCAACCTAATTAGCAGCAAAGGAATAAAAACCCTTTCCTATCCTGCAAGGTGAAATGAAGAGGTTTCAAATTTCAAACGGATAAGAGGTATTGCTTTTCCAAACAATGTACAGTTAATTAATGGAACTTGCTGCTGCACAGATAGTACTCAGAGAAACAGCATCATATTTGTAAATGAGCAGGCATTTTTTAGGCATAAAAGCAAATCTTCATTCAAAGTTCAGATTGGGTTAAGTTCAGTAGCATATATTATGCAGAAGATCAGACTAGATGATAATAATGGTTGCTCCTAGCCTTGAGGAAAAAAAAAAAAAAAATGAGAATTTTACTACCAGGTATTATGCAATAATATCAGTAGTTCTGGATGTATGTTAGTTAATAGATGGAGTCAGAAAGGTATCATCTCCCTGGTAAACTGTTACACACTTAAATAGGCAGGAAGGGGGAATAGTCCCTTTCCATTTAATCTGGTATTGGCCTCTGTCACAGTCAAGGCATCTTAGGATTTACCAATGCCAGTGACTGGCATTGGAACACACCAGAGGAAATTTCATTATTCTTGGAGTAACTGCAGAGCATCACTGAACACCTGTCTCGGAAATAGGAGGTTGTCTGACCTACTGATGGATAATCAGGATTAGTGTGGACTCTTACGCTGGGCCTTCAGAGACCCAGGGAAGGCTAGGAGACTTTTCAAACTTGTAGCTGTTCACCTCTCTTACTAAAGCTGGGCAAATCTTTCTCCCCCAACCCTGTGTGAAGGGAGTGACCACATTCATTGTAGCATAGTATGCTATACAGCCCTGTGTGTAGATCAGGAAAAAGCATAGAAAGGCCTTAAGAAAAGAGGTTAGAAGGAATGTGAGGAAGCCAAAGGCTCAAAGGCCTGAAACTAGTCTTATCCGTAGATCTATGACAGTAAATCCAGGAGTCCTAGTCCCCCATCCTCCTGAACAGCATCCCCTCAGAGTGTCCCCAGCCTCTAAACCCACACACACCTCACCCACACACAAGGAACATATGGAGACATAAGGCCCATCCTCATCTGCCCACGGCTGAATTCTACAGCTGAACCTTGAGGCAGGACAATGTTCCCCATGGGCAAGTGTAGCCTATGATGCCTCTGTTGTTGTTTTCTACTCCAGATATCCTCAGATGGGGACAGAGGTCAGGAGATCTCTCATTGATCTTTCTGAGAAATGTTACCTTATTCTGGTATCTGATATCTGGATATGTGGTTTATCACTGAACTGTCAATAAGGTGGTAGAGACTTCATGATAACAAGGTACCATGAGAATACAGGCCCTTTTCTCCATGTTTGCACTTACCTACATTGCCAGATATCTTACAGGCACCACAAGAAATCAGGGAGAATGTCTTCTAGAAAGTAGCTCTGTTGGAGCCATTTCAGTCACAGGAAGTGTTTCAGCCTTGTGGGCTGAAAAAGTTATCTGCCAGGGAAAATAAATAAATAAATAAATAACACCACATCAAAAAGAGCAAAACAGATCCTTCCACTAGGATTTTTACACCAGCATTCTGTACATTCATGTAAAGACAGAGTAAGCACATAAAATAAGAACAAAATCTCCATAGAGTTGCGATTCTAGTATGTTTGCAATGACAAGTTAGATTTTTTTTTCTTTTGGGGGCAGAAAGCACGGTGGAAAAGAAAAATGTATATTATTCATAAAAATGATTGTCCTGTTCACTTGTATACCTCTGCAATTTATTCTGTAACAGCTTTTTACTTCAAAGAAATCACTAGCTAATGACATCTGAAACTTAAAAAAATCCACTTATTCACAACCCTGTCCCTGAGGGAATTCCCGTGTGTTATCAGAAATTTTTCCAAAGATCATTAACAGATATTACAAACCAATTGAAACTGAGTATTTTCTTTGCAAATTACTTTTAACTTTAGAGCTATTGAAAAAAAGACATTGAGTGATTTAATTTACTTAATCTGTCTACAGATTGCAGCTATGTGCATATTCTGTGATTGCATTTCCAACAAAAAGCATATATAACTATCCCTAATAGAGATATTTTTCTAAATTATCGTACAAGATCAGTAAGATCTCTGAAGATATTAATGTTTACTTTTTCATTTAGGAAATTGCACTCGAGAAAGAAATGGGCACCTTTATTCTGTTGTTATCTTAGAAATAATAACACACCATAATACTTATTTTACCTGCTATTTTAATTAAAACTCCAATAATCATCACATCTGTATATCCTTTGAGGATATGTTCTACTGATTTTTCTGAAAAATCATTGTATTTTTATTAGTCTGTGAAGCCAATACTCTTGAAACGCCTTACACAGCAATGAGTATACTGAATGAAATCCTCTATCTTGTGCCAATCCAAAATAAGCATAGAGCAAGCTAAGTCAGCAGAGGAGGGCTGGAAAAGGCATCTTATTCTCCACCTCATTGCCTTAAACTCCTCCCAGAGAACCATATGTGTGCCAGCGCCACTTCTGCAGGAAGTATGGAAAATATCTGCCCCTGAGAATATTTAGTTTGTAGCTTCCTGGAGATACAGATTTGCAGACAAGGGCTTGAAACCCCTGAAGCTCAGGTGGACATCGGAGGTATTTATTCTGAAGTGAAGACAGCTGCTGTGTTTTATATGCTGCTCAGTCCTGATTGTGTGTTACACATGATTTGCCAGATCACTTTTCCTAAGAGCTGTGGGCAAAGCAATGCAAAGTTTCAGGAAACAAATCGGGGGTTAGCTGCTGAGAAGTTCAGCCCAGATAAGCTGGTGACTGCCAGGCCAACAAGCACGAGCGGGAGAAGGATTTTAGATGTTGTTATTTTTATTAACAAAAATATGGGTGATGAACTTTGCAGATGTATGGACCGGTATCCTTAACCTGAATATCTTTAAACCGCCTGAGTCTCAGTCATCTCCTTTTTGTCTTTAGGCCCAGATATGACTATTCAGAGAGGGATCCAGATTTCCCACAGAAAATAGGTACCTGAACATCTTTTCATATCTTGTTTAAAATAGGAATAAAGGGTTTGCAGAAAGGTAGATGGAGAGTTTGCAGGTGACAGTTACTACTGCACCTTCTTCAGATATTCCGTATCTTCCCATCAACTAGATCAGTGTAATAACTTATTCATTTCTACTACTATTGATCTCCCACTGTCCTGCTTCTTCCCTTTTGTGGGCTACAAAAAGGTCTTAGAATGAAAAAAAAAATTTCCAAGTGCACAAAAAAACAGGGATGTTATGAACTAGAGATAATTTTTAAAGTGTGTTAGTAGCTGGTAAAGGTTGAGAAGATTATTCCCTGAGCTATGTGAAGTCCAGATTTGTCCTGTGGACTTTGGGTACCTGTATTTTCAGTGGCATCTCTCCACCCTTCTGTCACATACATGCAGCCAGCATTACAGTGTTATCTCAGATGGTGCACACATACCTCCAGAAAATCAGAGCCAGGGGCTTTCATTTAGTTCTAGCAGCACAGTCTCATACACATCCAGCTCCAAGAGGAGTCAGCTCAGCCCTAGCACTTCCTCCCTTTCCCCTTGCATGCTTTTCCCCCTCCCAGATTTTAAGTAGCTGCCTTGCATTGCTTGGGCTCTAATAACTGGCCACCCCCAGCTCTGGGGTTCCTTCTGCCCAAGAGCTGGTGGCACAGCAATGACACAGCAGCAGAAGCCACCAAGGTGTCCCAGTCAGGGGTGACCTAGAGCTCCCACCTGCCAGCACTGGGCACTGCTCCACCGGCTGCGATGGCATGGCGCTTGCCCACTGTCACTCAACCCGGGGCATCTCCGCGGAGTCTGATAACACATCTGCTAATTAATGCCAGTTGTGATCCTCGGTCAGATCCTCAACTGGGATAAATTGACACGGCTCCATTTAAGCCTGCGACAATTAGCGGCAGCTTAGAGCTGACCCGGTGGTTTTCTTTATAATGTGGATATGTGTCTTGTTGGAAGTGAACAAAACCCACCAACTAATTGCATATAAGCCACCAAACAATCAGAAAATGAAATGATTGTCAGTAACTCCCAGCCTGGGCCAAATTACAATGGTGACAAAGAAGTGATAGCCTCAGATCTGTTAACAGCCCTCTGAGCTATCCAATCCCCTTATAATAATAATAATTAATAATAATAGATGTGCTGCTGGATACATTCACCTTTCTGTAAGGAAAGCCTAATGAGTCTCTCTCTCTCTCTCTTTTTTTATCAGGAAATTCAAAAGTGATTCTATTAACATGTAAGCATAGCATGTTACATTTTAACAATTGAACTGATCAAATATACTCTTACATTATCTTTTAGAGTCTTAGGAGTAACATCAATAAGTGAAAAGGAACAGTCTAAGAACTTTCTCAGGATTCTTTTTCAGCCATTTGTCAAAATTTCATTTCGATCAATACTTCTACCCTGTTACATTGTATCACCAGTCCTCTCAACCAAAGTAAGCAGAGCAGCAGTAGGTAACATATCTTAACTAGAGGCAAAGGCAGCATTCCCAGATATAAAGCAAAAGTTTGATAGGTTGTGTCAAAAGGAACTGTTGTTATTATTATAATTTATTATTTGTTAAGCACTGACAATGTGCTCAGTTCTGCTGATTAAGTTCTTCTGAGCAAGTTCTACTGATTAGCTTCTGAGGACAACACACTACTACAAAGAAGATATTTGACAGCTATCAAGACTTTTGCTTTCAAGGCTCACTTAGCAAAACAATTACACGCCAGTTATGCAGGTTTCGCATAAACTGAGTAAATATCATGACTTTTGTGTTCACTAATTTTCCTACTCCAGATCTCTCACTTCAGTACTGTCTGACAACCTCAAAGTTACACTGAGAGTTGAGTAAGATCTAAAGCCTCATCTTGGTTTATATTCAGTTTCAAGCATCATGCTACATTAAGGGCAAGCACACAAGTTGCGTTGTTAAGCTCTGTTTTTGCATTTGGGACTCTCTCCATGGGAGAGCAGAGATATCTGAACAGGGCCAGCCCAAAACAAACAAAACTTAAGCAACTCCAGGCTGATGTGCACATCTCCATACCACAAAGCAGGCTGGACACAGTCAGCCCATATTATGCTTGTAGGTGGTGGCATGGCCTTAGAAGGACTTTTGTGGGTGCAAGCACCAAAAGGAAGCATTCTTCCTATCCTGATGGGTCTTTTTTTTTTCAGCAGATTTGTCATTAAATCTCTCCAGTGTGAGATAAAGGTACATCGCTTTATGATGTTGAAGAGTTGGGATGTTGGTTTTAGGCTGGTCACTGTAGCAGCATTATTCCTATAAGACCAGGTGAGTTTTGGGCCTCTTTCACATCTACCTTAGCGTATAAAGGAGTCACAAAGAGTTTCTTCCTTCACCCTTACTCCCTTCAGGCCAGTTGTTTACAGTATACATTCCCAAAAAGTGGGCATTGGATGACAAGACAATTCATATGCATATGTATGTACATGGCAGAGGACAGGGATCTGGGAAGTGCTGGCCAAATCTGTGTGTCAGGAGGGTGCTGAGCAGACATTGTCCCTTGTCTCAGCCAGGTAACACCTAGGCTTTCTGACTGCAGCGCTGCCAGAGCTCCAGCAGTGCAGTTGTTCTTAGAAGAAAAATTCTCTTTTGTCTGCAGCTATCCTCTAGCTTGCACACTTCCCTAAATCCCACCAGCATGCTTTTTTTTCCTAACTGACAGAGGGAAGTGAGTTCTTATATAAATCCTTTGTGTGAAGATCAAACTGTGTGCATGTAGAACTGTGTTTTTAGGGGAAAATCTGCCCTAAAATAATCATTCCGTGTTATCCCCACAGAGTGCCTGTGCTGGCTGTGGAAAAGCATCCAAGGCCACCCTCAAGACCAGGATCAACATTCGCAGGCAGCAGCAGGCTGCAGCTGAAGTCTCAGTGCTGGTGGGGAGGGCAAAGCGTGGGCAGCCTGGGGCAGGCTCAGGGTCAGGGACAGCACAGCTGGAAGGGGCCGTAATCCGAGTTGCTACTTGCAGACAATGTCAGCCATTGTATGGATTGATAGAAAGTCATGGAGCAACGCAGGAACCAGCCTGGGGCATGTGAAAAAGGTGTCTGTCTGCCTAGCTGGCTTGGACGCCTCACGCCTCCAGCTGGCTACACAGGTATGGAAAGATGCTGCATTTTCAGTCATATCTTGTAAATTAATCTTAGTTTGTTAGTAGACCTAAGAGTGGGGGATTTGGTTGAGAAAACATAGCCTCTAATTCACAAATTCAGAAACTCTTGAAGAGAGGAGAACTGGAAAAAAAAAGACTGGTTACAGTGCTATTGAGAAATTCTTTTAGAAAATGTCAGCTAAAGAAGAAAGCACCCGAATTACAATAGAACAGCAGTTTTAAGATCAAGTTCAATGTGTCTTGGTGTTCAGCTATTAAACAACTAGATTACCAGCCAGGAAATGCCAGGCAAGAATTAGGAATGGTGAAGCTTGCACTACCAAATCACAGCATGACTCACTGTAGCAACAAATCTTTGGAAAAGCCTCCCTTGTCTCCTTCTTTCACTCTTTCTGCTCCCCTTTCCCTCTTCCTGTGCTCCTGGTTTGCTTGAATACAATACAGTCAGGGTTTTTATAGCCAGCCCTAATTTTCCCAGAAGGCACAGCTCTTATAAAGAAGCACAGGTTCTTCCTCTCAGGACTCACGCTTCAATGCCACCATCTAAGAGATGGATGAACCAACTCCACTTAAATAAAAACACTCTACCTGTGCCCATCCTCCAGCAAAGTTTCAGCCACAGGTGGAACTAAACCCAAATCTAGACAATATAAAAGTTGAGAAAAATCAACTTCCCTTTATTTCCCTATTCATTTTCTGCCACTTTGATTTTTTGAATTTCAGACAAGACCATGACCAAGAGCTGCAGGGCCAAAAGGGGCTGGATGTGCCATATTGCTGGCCTGAATGGAAGCAGGAAATACTAAACATCTTGCATGGAAGCCTGTTCTCATCAGGTTTATAGCCCAGCTTTTTCCATCAAAAGCAGTGAGGATGGTACAGACAGGGTTCAGAAATGCATCCAAGCATATGGGAGTATATCTACACTAATCCTCCTTTTGAGCTTCATCCAGCACTAAATCAGAGCCACACCGTAAAGAGGAGTAATGCAATAACTTGTGGAAAAAGCATGGCTCCTTTCTATTAAGATGGGGAAAATTAAATAACGTGACTCACTTTTCTCCTCAGAAACTGTTGGAGGAATGTAATAATGTAAAACATTGCAGAGACTGGGGGAAAAAAAAAAAAAAATGTCGAGTACCACCTTGGCTGCCCTACAGCTATATGCCCAGTGCAGTTGCAAGCTGTAGGTGGAGGACAGCATCACGGCAGGGCCAGCTTTGAAAGAAGAACAGGGTAACAGCTACCTGTGTGCCGCAGTCCTTTGGGTGACAAAACATACTTGGGAGGCTGTGAAAACATCTTTTTTGCCATGTTGTGGCTGTCCCATGCCATGCTGCTGCTTGCATGCTCTCTGGTTCTGCTGTGCTGTGGGCGCTGCCCTGAGCCATCCCCTGAAAGCAACATTGAGGAACTTGGGGAAAGAAGGGGTTTGTGGCATTGTTTCCTCAGCAAGAACACAGGGCACTCTGTGTTGAGGAGGAAAAGGGCTCTGCTTATCTCATGGCAGTACAAGAGGACCCTAAGGCTGCAACAGGGCCTGGCAGGCATGCTGCCGTCTCTTGCTTGTGCGTGCGAGCAGGGTGGGCTCACACAGGGAGTACCAAAGGCTTTCCAGGTTCATCCCTATCATGTGTATTTCCCAGCCACAGTCCCTGGCTTTACCTATTGAAAGCAAAAGAGAAAGATCTGTCATTGTAAGACAAGATATGCACTGAGTGCCAGAGATGCTTTAATAGCAGTAACATGTGCTAGCTGAAGGTCTAGCCCTTGACCACTTTTTCCCTGTGCTCAAAGCAAAATAAAATTAAATTAAATTAAAATCTAACATGTGAAACCCTGCTCCATAGCCTCCAAATAATGCTCTCTGGACCTTAAACCAGGTTCAGAAAAATATTTTCAACAGAGCTTGCTGAGGGAGAGCTAATGGGTTAGGGAGATTAAAAAGAGCTGTCAAAATGAGGTGGGTAGTTAGGTAGGGAGGGATACAAGTTAGGAGAGGGTTTAGCAAACTAAATAGGGACAGGAAATAATAAATGCAGCTCCACACACACAAGCACACACACACTCATACATGTGCAGTGCCAGCCTACGACTGAGGCAAAGAGTCTATTGTTTCCACATATAAAAATCTTCAAACTAGAATTTACTTGATCATGTGCACTGCCTTTTCCTGAAATAAAATAAAACTGAAAGAAATTATACTCAAAAGAAAACTGAAAGCAATTATACTCATCTATTTTCTTATAGAAAGAAATCATTACATAGCTCTGTGGAACATCGTCTAAAACTTCCAGTTCTTAAAAATTACTGACCAGTCTCAGCTGGTGTAAATCAGCACAGTTATACTGACATCTAGGAAGCAGAGCATTTCCACCCCAGCTTAAAATCTGCCCCCATATGCTGTTTCTTTAGAACAACTTGTCTTCCCTTTTTTTTTCATGATATGCATCTGGTTTAAGGTGACTTTTCCTTTCCCAGCATATGGAGCTGAATGATTATGACGATTTACATTTATTTTAAATCACAGCCTATTAAATGGAAAAATAAATGCTAATATGTTGATGTGGTTTATTTCTGAATGAATTATTGATATGAATGAGTAGTTGCAGCTATCATAATTACTGTTTATTAAATAAATATATTTTGAATTAGAGACCCTTGATTAAGAAATCACATTTTTGTCTGAAAATTGTTTTCCTGCTGCTATTACAAGGAATACCTCACATTACTCTAAATAATAATAAGAAAAGATTGTTGAAATTATTCTATTTTTTATCTTTTCCTTTGCTCTGTGAACTTGGCAGCGCTTTGTGCATATTCCCTTTCACTGCTTCTCTCCTCTAATCAGTTAAGTGAGGCTCTTTCCCCTCTGTTGTTTGTGTGGATCTGTCACATAGCACCTAGAGACACAAAAAAACATTTTAAGCAGGAAAATGTGAAACACAAAAACTAAAGGATTGAGGATCAGATACCTGAAACTCCTCTCAACATTTTCTTTCAAGCTGAGCACGTTTCATATTAATGGTGTCTCTTTAACATAAATAATGATCTAATGAAATAAATATGAAATTGAAAGAATCATAAAAAGAATTTTACATTTAAGAATGCCATCTGTGTAACACTTAGCCTAACAATGAAATCATTTCAGCGCCAAAGCAGCTCACTCTGCTTCCAGCACAAGTTACAGAGCAGTATAATGGTTCTGCAGAACAGCGCAATATCTGAGCTCAGATGAATAACAAACACCTGGGTTCAAACTCACTTTAGTCCACACGGACAGTGGATATCACATGGGAGTTTTGAACTAGTCCCTGCTAATGCTTCTGCCTCGAGTCATCACAGATTTTTCGTGCAGCTGCCGATTTTCATCAAAAGAAAATTTAGATATCAGTGTACAACATTGTGCAGATCAACATGATGGTATCTTGCTACAACTATTGCACCAATTCTCTGCTTTTTCAGTGTAAAACTCTCCTGGAACTCAGAGACAGTAGAGTTCAACTGGAGAGACCAGGACTCAGAAGCAAGACCCCATACAAATACATCTGTAGCATGAAAAGCTCTTTCCAGAAAGCACTTGCAACAACAGCAAACTTGAGGATGGCTTTTAGGACTGGCATCCTAAATCATAAGATTATGGACAGCAATACAGCGTCATGAACTGAGCTCACAAGACCTGGGAAGCCAAGTTCTGGTCTCCTGTAAGGCAGCACAGCAGAGCCACACTGAGCACAATGGGGATTGTTTGTTTACACCAGCTGAAGAGAAGGGAACATATTTGTTTTGAGTGAGCTGTGTTAGAATACATATTTTTTTATATGCCCGGGCCTCATTACGCAGTGCTAGTCTTCCACATGGATCAGATCCTAAAACTGCTCTACATACTGAAATAAATGTGAGCTCTACCCACAGAACATCTCCAGACTTAGGCCTCACGTCTATCAATGTCATCTTAAAAAACAAACGCTTAAAAAAGAAAAACAACAAAAGTATCTTAGAGACGGTGGAGGATGCTCACGTGCAGTAGATGCCATTCAAGGCGATGCTGAGGAATGACTTGGAGAGACAAAAACCCCATGTAATAAGGCTGGAGAACAGAGTGGGCCTGAAAGAAAATGAGAGATAATTAAAGTTCACTGAAAGAAATGTGACTTGCACCAGTCAGTCAGGAGTTTTCTAAAAGTGAGTGGAAATTATCCTTCCACAGCAGCCACGAGCCTGCTCTAACATCCCCCCAGGCAAAGGTGGCCACAGCCCCTGTTGTGCACGAGACATGAGAGCCTTCACAGGGGAGAGTTAAAGCACTGCTCAGCAAACAACCTGAAGAGCTGCACGCTGTATTCATGTACAGGAAGGTATGAGCCAACGGAGAGAGACATTCAGAGGCAATCAAAGAGGATCTGAGCCTCCCTGAGCACTCACATGACAGTTGGGATCATTTCGGATCCCTTCCAATGAAGATAAAATAGCATCAAAAGCAGGGAGGGTTTTTTTCTTTCTTTTAAGGATGAAAACATAACATCATTAGTCAAATTTACTCTGAACTTCCGCCTCCTCATGTTGATTTGTACTCAGGTTGAGTAAACATATCTTTCCATCAAGGTAAATAAATGTAAAAGCCTATCAGTAACTTAATTGCTTAACGAATGATGCAGTGTGGGGTGTAACACTGTTTTTGACTATGCTGTTGAAGTTAACGACCTCTCAAAAACACCTATTATACATCTTGGCAGTAAAAAAAAATCTGTTCCTACTTGAAAATTTGCTCATAAAATTTCAACCATTTTCTAATAATTTTTTCCCCAGTTTTGGGAAGGGGGTTGGAGACGTCCTAGGGCAATTTTCTAGGTGTACTGTTGTCAAAAAGAGTTTATCAGTGAGAGACACTGTCTTTTGCACGTCTGCATGCCCCCAAGAAAATAAAATTGAGAAAAGCAGAGAGGCAGTCCACAACAAGGGCAGAAGTTACCAGGTGTATGGGAAATGCCTCCGAGTAAAAATGGTTCACATTTCACTGGGGTGGGGAGGTTCAGCCCACAGGTGTCAGGCAGGAGCCCGATCTCTGACGCACAACACACACATAGGGACATCTATCTGGTAACGTGAACTCCTCCATCCTGGTGTACCTGGTGCCCTGGGCTGAGAGGACCCAAGGGAAAAACAGTCGTGCTGGTTAAAAGAAAGCCATTTGATAGAGGTGTAGGCAAAATCAGCTCTCCGGTGAGAGGACAGCCAGGGAGGAGTGTGTACCAGGCATCAGAGACTGAAATCTGGCTTGTGGTGGGCAGGCAGGCAGAGCACAGAGGCACAGCTGCCAGGCTGACATGATGGATCAGAAAAGGCACTAAGGAACTGCAAGAGTCCGGGCAGCTGAAGCAAAGCAAAACACGGAAAGGCAATAGGTCAGCCCATCTTTACAATCTATCAATTAAACAATCATCCACTTGCAAAGGCGTGTTATGTCCTGAGCAGTGGATATCCCAGCATGCGATCACTGCCGTGATGGAGCGACAGGCTCACAAACAGGAATTAATAATAATAATTACTAGGAATGCTAATAATTTTGGATAGGCCATTCTATAGTGAACCCCTCCGAGAAAATAACACGGTTGGGTATTTTGGCTTAATTATACGGTCCCATATCAGCTTTACTCAGCCCACTGCAAAACAAAGGTGTGTTCATAATTGTCCATTATGTGGGAGGGTTTAGCCAAAATCTCACCCTGCTTCGGCCAGTTAGCGGGGGTGAGAGTGCCGTGTAGTTAGCTTCAGCTGCTTTCTCCAAAGCCCTGAAGCTTTCAGAAACATTCATTTCTGTTGGCATCACTCAACAGCTCATTGTTAGGATTTGTTCTCATTGGCATGCATGAACTAAGACTGATGTATCAGGCGATCCAGAGTGACAGCCTTCAGCCCAAAAAGTGGATACCTGCTTCCCTTAGAGTCCAGGGACTTGCACTTGATTCAGAGGATATATGCAAAAATTATCTTTCCTCTCTCATTTGCCTGTGTTAAGCCTAAGAGCATTCATCCAAATTAGCAATCAGGCAAACTGTGCATGCAAAAATCTGCACTTGTACAAACCGTGCCTTTTTTTTTTTTTTTTTTTTTGGTAACACTGTGAGATTAAATATCTTGACAAAAGACGAAAACCCTTTAACAAATCTTCCCCTAGAGAAAAGTAGCATTTTTTTTATTCCATTTACTGTCAAATGACATAAAGAAAGTATAGCTGAACACAGTCCTATAGGTTGATTTGTTGCTTTAAATAATGTCACTAACATCCAGATATCAATGTGATGGTGAAAAAAAAAAAAAAAAGAAAAAAAAAGTTCACATTGAGCTAGATTCAATTACAGACCTAGAAATTGAAATTAAGTCTGATGCTACATGCTTAATTCATGTTTGTGTGACTGAGAAAGAGAGTATCTGGTTTACCTTGAATTTCCTGCCCTAGTGTGGTGAAAACATGACCCATTATATTAATTAAAAAATAGTTTTAAAATGTAGCTTAAGTCATATCACACTGGCAGGAAAAGACAAACACTTTTTGTTCTCAGACTGTTATAGGATATAAGGGAAGCTGCTCAACATCTTTTCCCTTGATTCCTGGGTATATCTCACAATTCCCATTGTGGAATCGAAATAAATAAATAAATGAAATAAATAAAATAAATAAAATAAAATAAAATAAAATAAAATAAAATAAAATAAAATAAAATAAAATAAAATAAAATAAAATTCACAATTAGTAACCAAAGATTCTTCTTTAATTAAAAAATTAAGCATTTGTCCCTCAAAACCCATAATCATCTTCCAACCACACTGATTGAAACTGATGCATATTGGCAATTATCACGTGTGTTATTCAGGTCTATACTTTGCTCTGTGTTACCTCGTTTGGGTGCTACACCCAGTATGGTACGTTAGAGTTTAATACCCCAAAATGCCATATCATATCAGTGGAATTTAAACCAGCACACATTTGACTACTGATTTCACATATGGGGCTGGGACTAACTTTTCTCCTAATATGGTGATGGCACAGGCACTATTTAAATGATTCCTGAGCCTTGTAAATATACACCAGATGTATCTTTTGTAAATGTTACATTTTTCAACATCTCAGCATTTGTGAATAGTTGAAAGCTATGCCAGCCATGCTTTAATGGGGCACAGAAGCGTGCTGCATTCAAAGAAATGGCACACCATTGCAATAGTCAAAATTACAAGCGCTGTCAAAAGCGACATTTTCACTTTATTGATTAGCACCAGGTAATGCAGTGCTCTGCATCGCACACTCATATGGGCCATTTTCAGATGATGTTTCTGTGCACGAGGGTGCACAGAGGGACCTGGAACTGGATCTGCAGGGGCACACACTGGGGAAGGAGGAGGGCAGAGATCTGGAGACCTGAACGTGCCCCCGTGGACACAACAGACGGCCCAAGGTGAGGTGGAAAGGGCTTCAGGGACTGCTGATCCCAGGGTCTTTGGTCACCAGCACACCTTTCCTGCTAGCACTGGTGCTGTATGAGGCTACAATACGATTTTCTGTGTCTCAGGCTCCTGCTGCTTGGTCCTCAGCACAGGGAGAGACATCTCCCGTAAGAGATGCAGAACAGGTTGCATTCATTTTGGCTGTAAGAAGCATTCATCCTCTGGGCTTTTCTAGACCCTTTTATTCCCCCAAACTCTTCCTGCCTTTCCTGTGTTGCTGCAGAAATCTAGTCGGAGATCCAGGAGCAGGTGTGTGGCAGGTAATGGGAAACATCCACTCCTCCCTTTCTACCTCCCGGTACTTGCCATGCCCATTGCCACATCCCAACTGCAGCCATGGCCTCCCCGACAGCACCAGGCAGGCAGTAAAAAGAGCCATCAGAAAAGAAACCAGCACATTTGTCTGAAAACCCACTTCTCTCCTTTGCAAGATTTGCACCCAAGCTGTACCACAAATAAGAAGGAAGGCCTCTACAGTGTTGCATGGTTCCTATTATTCGAAAGGCAGAGTGCTTTTTCCTAGGTGAATTTCATGCTGGATTTGCGCCACGCACCTCGGTCCAGCAAATCAGCTAAAAATCAGAGCTAGGTGACACATGACAATAAACTTAGAGGGAATGGACTAGCTGTAATGCCCCACTACAAGTATTATTTCCAAGTTCACAGGCTTGCAAATTAAAATGTCCCTGGATCACTGCCATAAAAAAGAACATTAAAAATCAGGGGAAGAGGTCTGGGCATCTGTTAGAAGCATCTAATATATACCAAATGTGTATGCTGAGCTTCTTAGATATATGCATTGCTGAAATATAGCCTACAAGTAATGTAAAAGCAGAAATATTTTAATTGTATTTTTCCATTTGATATTCAAATGAAAAAAAATATATCTTATTAAACACAACACTTGGCTTTGCTATTTTAATAAAAAATAAGTTGTTGAGGAAAAGAAAAGCAAAACTACTGATTCCTTTCCTTATGATGATCAAATGAGCCTTTCATGTTTGTATCTTATACTTCACTTTTTAGCATTTTGAGGCAAATAGCAGATATCAAAACTTAGTAAATAATCAAAGACTTACTCAGTTTTTCCAAACTGTCATGCTGCTTATCTTGTAATAACTGATCTCTTAGGTAGCATAAGCTATTTAATTGCTACTGAAGATTATTTGAATGAAAAAGAGACGACACTCTCCCTTACCCCTCAAAAAGACAAAACTATATTCTTCAAAAAGACACATGCCAGCAGATAGATTCTGATCTCTTATACACACACACAAGTGCAATTGCTAATTTTACAAGATTTGATAGGAGCTGTGGATCTGAGATTACACCCTGTCCTCCTGACTGCACATTCCACATGGAAAATGGCTTAATTTGGAAATAAAATTTGTTGCTGATAAATCAGGACTCCGTAGTCTCTGGGTATCAGAATAACCAAACCTATTAAAGGGTTTTAAAAAGCAGCTAAGTATGCACAGCAACTGTATTTTAAAGGGACTTTTTACAGTGTTTGGCAAAGTGCGTATTCATGTATCCCCCCTGACATGATAGACTGTAATGGCTTCGGTCTGTCATGTCAACCATCTGCATATTAAACAGTCCCTA